TTCAGCAATGAGATAAGATACGACTCTAATTTAAATCTCTAGATGGCAGCAATCCATTATTATACATGTATTACACGATTTGATCTGAAAGTCAATTATCTTGGACAGCTCCTTCCTGTAGTAGTTCTTGGGGTAATTAGTACGAGTTTCAACTAACGGGCTTTGGTAATAATTAACGAGTTACCAGTGAAAATATGTTTGTTCTTTTGGGGTTGATTTGGGTAATTCATGCTACAGGATGAGAACTGATTACTTTTTAAGGCCTTAAAACTTATCCTAATTAAACGACAAACAACACGAGTTTAACATGTAATCATTTTATTTATATAAACATCTAAAAAAGATTATGCATTCATATGACTAACGGTTACAATATATTATAGTCTCTACAATTATTAATAAAAACAGAATTATAATTTTATTACTCTCTATATCAGCAAATATTTCCAGGATCTAAACCGCTTTGATTTAGGTCAAAACACAATAATGAACTGGCTTGATCTGACGTGTTATTTACATTCAGGATGTGTTATTTCATAGGATGTGTTATTTCTATTCCTGATGTGTTAAATCCATACAGGATGTGTTCAATCCTGATTTGCTTTTTGCATATCTGAGGCGTTAATTCCATCCCTGGTGTCTTATTTCCGTATCCAATGTGTTATTTCCATACAGGATGTGTTATTTCTATCCCTGAAGTGTTATTTTCATATCTAATGTGTTTAAATCCAAATGATTAAATTTTATTTTAATTTTTGACGACAAGATACCCACGTCGTTAAATCAGTCAAACTATTTATTTTCAACCAAATTAAAGAGGTTTAGTTTTAACTATATAGTTCAGATTATTAATAAACTTAAAAACTTTATATAGTTTTAAACTTTGGCTTGAAGGTAAACATCAGATTATTACTTATTACCATTTCTAGAACACCTGACAACACTTCTCAGTTGTAATTTAAAGGAGGTCAGAAAGCTAAAAATATCTATTGCACTTCTATATGGAATTAATACTATTTCCAATCTGATTTAAATACAGATTTATATTTCGTTTCGTTTTTTTTTACTTTCGATGGCCTACACTACATGAAGATCTGACCGGTTGTACTGAAACGTCGTGTCAGAGGTCGCACGAGCGGTTTTTGACCTTATGACGCCAAACATTGATTAATCAATCAATTTCTATTGGTTTACCAACAGTACTGTGCACCGCACGGCAAGAACTCGTCATAACAGACCGATTCGTTGGCTAGTCCCTCACATCATCCAGAACGCGGGTTATATAACAACCCTACCAGATCCTAGTGTAGTAAAGACAAGTAAACCGAAAATTTGAACTATAAAAAAACGAAACGAAATAGGATCTGTATTTTAATCAGATTGTACAATTTCATAGTTAGCTGGAAATACAACAGGAAATTTCATTTTGATCATCTTTTTAAATATATACACATAATGAAATATAAAAAAGAGAAATGGCATTGGTATACATGAAGTCAAAGCCCAGCTTGAGCATGGGCCTGAGGGGCCCAGGCCCAGGGGCCCGTTGTTTAGGGGGCCCAGCGGTTCATGGCAAAAGGAGAAATAATTTAAATGCCAGATGAAAGTTTCACGGTAATCGATCTAGCAGTGCGAGGGCGGAAACTGAGCCACCATCAACCTTCAAAAGGATATGAAATAATCTTTTCGTCGCGTTAGGGGCCCAGCGATTCTACTTAGGCCCAAGGCCCCGCTCCGGTTAAGCTGGGCGTTGCATGAAGTATATAAATAAAATTACATCCCAAGAATGGTCCCAAGTATTCTTTTAAATAATACTGATATTCCTGTAAAAATTTCTATATACATATAGAAAGGTTAAACATCAGTATGTAAATCAAAATTACGAGAACAGCTTCAAGCATTGTTTTAAAATAATATCGACACTCCCGTGTTAGATGAAATATAAAAAAGACAATTGCCATTGGTATACCAACATTAAACATGCAGTATATTAACCAACAGAATGGTCCGAAGTATTCTTTTAAACAAAACCAGCTCTCCTGTAAAAAGGCCACGTAACAAGAATCTATGTACAAATGGAACACCGTTAATGCACTTACGAAGAAAGGTATATAAATATAAGGTATTTAAAACAACTTCTGACAACAAATAACAAGAATATCCTGCAATAATAAGACAATTTATATTTGATATATGTAAATATTTAAATATTATATACCACAGCACCCTATTAATTATACCACTTATTATACAGAACTACTGGGGAAGGAATGAGGGGTTAGAACTACTGGGAAAGGAATGGGGGGGTTAGAACTACTGGGGAAGGAATGGGGATTAGTACTATTGGGAAAGGAATGGGGTTTAATTAAGGTCCCTGGCTCAAATTTTGCTATCTGGTGAATTCTTCATCAATTTGTGAAACTTGTCTAGGAACCCTTTTTCCAGAAAATTATGTCAAATTCCAGAAAAATACGACAATTTCTACAATAATCTCAATTCTAAAAGTGTTTTTACACATAAATACTACAAATTTAACTGTCTTGTGTCATGAAAATTGAATAACAGGTAAATTGGTTTGCTGATTACCTGGCCAGTCAGATGAACATGAAAATGTAAGTGAAACAAGAGTTTTGATTCTTCGAGAGGGGGAGGGGGGGGGGCGTTCCTGGCTTTGAAGTGTCATGATTGTGTTCTTTATCCTTTATCATCAGATGGTGGAATGGGATGGACATTCAAAGTACGAGATAATGATACAGACATATGTGATATCATTGCATCAATGAAATTGAATCACAATGTGATAGTATTAATTCATAAAAAAAAAATCCGTCAAATGGGGTGTTGTGTTTTTCTCTGTATATAAGTGAAAAAGACGATAGATACATTATCTCAGGAACCTGGCAAACCCCCTCCTGCAAAAACTCCTGGATCCGCCCCTGATGAGCAATATATAAAATAATATACATGTACCTTTAGATAATTAACAAATAAAAAAAATACAGTCATCTAATTATCATATATTCAGTGTAATATTATGTAACTTTTATAATAAACCAAATAACAAACTTGTTATACAAGTATTATCTTAATTATTTTATAAATATTACTTTTACCAGAACAGCAGTTGATACAACTTTAAGTAGAGTACACTCAGACAGACATTGCTATAATATTCACAATAGTATAGGATACAGAATACAATTGGTGTTTAGAATATGTCCTGAGTATTTCTAGTATGACTATAAAATAGGCCGTAGTTCAGGACACATTACATGGAATACAAATTACTCTTTATTAGAATAGTGCCCTGAATATTTCTAGTATAACATACAGGACACATTACATGGAATATAATTACGTTTTGTTAGCACTGTCTCTTGAGCATTTCGGTCAATAACCAATCTGTGACATCATTTTAGTCCTTCTTCTCATATTCTAATCTATATTTCTATGAGGGAACGGACTAAAATGACATCACAGATTGTTTATTGATAGAAAGTTACGACTACTCATGGAGAACGGAGGAAATTACTAATGTTTAAATTTACCTGTTGCAGGTAATATTGACATTTGGCTTCGTGTTATACTTATGAAAAGGATATGTTGACATAATTACTTGCATAATTTATAAAAAAAACAATTGAAGCTTTTCCAGTGACCTTTAATATTTCACATTGTTCGGCCGGAGCCAGATAAAATATTTAGATGGACCTGATTTTAATTGGATTAAATCCAAGCTAAAAGATTATCTACTGTTGATAATTTGGTTGTAATAAATGTCAAATAATCAATTTGAGTAAACTTTAGTGTTGTGTGAGAGAGAAATGGGGTTTAATGTTCACTCGACACAATCTAGGTCATTTCGGGACTAACATATGGTTCAGTTTTATTTCAATTCGCTTGCGTGTAGGTGTCTTTAGCAGTGGGAGGACCCAGAAAAACCCACGAGGTTGGACAGGTGATTTTAGTGTGGTTTAGGATGTGAAATATTAGGGAAAAATAGAAAAAGGTGGTTGAACAACTACTCTACACAAACTAGGTCAATTTGAGACTAACATATGGTTCAGTTTCATTTCAATAATTCGCTTGCGCATAGGGTCTTTAGTAGTGGGAGCAAACCTTAGGACTGGAGAAAACCCACAAGGTTGGACAGACAACCCTACTCCTTGTCACAAATAAGCGGGGAATCGAAACCATGCCCCTTGACTCAATGACAGACCTCACGATCCTCCCCACCCCCACTTAAAAATATAAAAATCTTGATAATAAAGACAAAGTTTCAAAATCTCTTGCACCCGATATTTAACGTTAAATTAAATCGATACTACACAGTTACCATTCTTAGTTCAACTAATATTCAGGAGCATTACCCATCAAGGAATAAATTTAATAACTAAAACTTAACAGATAAAAGAGAAATAACATAATAAAACTGCTGCGTTTTGTTAAGGAGGAGGAGGGGCCGAAGCCCTTGTAGGAAGATGTACATTGGGTGGGGCAGGGCTGTACCTTGCTGGTGGCCCCCCTTGGGGTGAGGCATTATATTGATTAGGGTATCCCCCTTGAGAGGGATAAGGGGGAACACTGGCAGGGTTTTGGTTAGGGTATCCCCCTTGAGACGGGTAAGGGGGAACACTGGCTGGGTTTTGGTTAGGGTATCCCCCTGGCGAGGGGTAAGGGGGAACATTAGCAGAGTTCTGGTTATATTGGGGAGGAGCAGCAGCAGGGCTTTGGTTGTATTGGGGAGGGGCAGCTTGAGCAGGGCTTTGGTTGTATTGGGGAGGGGCAGCTTGAGCACCTGCAGGAGCTGCATTAGGCACTGGTGCTCCATGTGCTGGTGGTTGGTAAGGGGGTGGAGGTTTAGGTACAATTCCTCTCCTCTTCATATATCGCGTAACTTGATCTGGTATTTCTGCTAAAACTTCTTTCGCTAGATATCCTTTACTCATCTGTAGATTATTACCATATTTACCACCAATAAACTCACGGAACGGCACAAACTACAATACAAAATACATTAGGATCTGTATATTATTGCCGTATTTACCACCAATGAACTCACGGAACGGCACAAACTACAATACAAAATACATTGTAAAATTCTACTTGAAAATAGTGTTAAATTATTATAAATGTGTGTCAGCTGTGGCAAGAAATGATTCCTTTGGCAAACAAAGAAGAATCAGGGTGACAAATAGTCGATAAGGATTCCAAAATAGCCTTAGACCAGAGGTAGTATATTTATATTGCAGCTATAATAGGAACTGTCAGCGGACATCTTCCGATCAGAGACAGTTCCTAAAGGAACTACATATAAACATCAGAATTTACAGATTACCTCTGGACCTTGCCTAGTACCATTCAACAGATCTCTGTTTTTCTGTTTTCACATAGAACCTAGTTTTTAGCAGTCAAGTAATGCCTTATCATCTTACTTGACCGTTTGTTAATCGCCATTATCAAATCCGCCACTAGAGAGCTTTTCAAAGCCTAATCTTTAATTTGGTATTCGGTTTCAAAATTATTTACATGTTTTACTAGTAAAAATATCAAGGGTCAACTTTTTGACAAGTAATACAAAAATGAACCAAGTCAAACCAGGTACCAAGTCAAACCAGAGAGAGAGAGAGAGAGAGAAATTGGGTTTAAGGTCCACTTGACACAAACTAGGTCATTTCGGGACTAACATATGGTTTTAATTTTTTATTTCAATAATTCGCTTGCTCAAAGAGGTCTTTAGCAGTGGGAGGAAACCGGAGGACTCGGAGAAAACCCACAAGGTTGGACAGGCGCAAGTCAAACCAGGTACCAAGTTAAACTGTGATACTGGGCTTGACAAATCCTAAAGATACTTCTTCAACCACACTGGGATATTAGTCAAAACTGTTGTGCCTTAATCGCTTGATGACCTTGATCCAATTTAGTAAAACAACCCACCTGTACTATGTCTTGTTCAGCATATTTTCCGTTGTAACCTAATCTTTTATTATCAGAATCTAATTCATCCATAGCTTTAAAAAAATATATATAAAAAAAATAATACATTTCTATTCACTGTGCTTTAAAAAATTGTTATTATTATTATTCACTGTGTTTGTTAGGCTTGTTTTGCAGTTATAATGTCTTGTGGAGCCACAGTGGATAAGTGGGTATAACGTTAGCTTGCTAGATTGGAGGTCGCGTGTTCGACCCCTGCATTGGCTGAGAAAGTTCAGTGGGATTTTCCAGCGTGGTTTTCCCTTGTCAGTGGTGCAGGATGGAGGGCATGACAAAGACAGCTCTCTAGTCGTTCAGATGAGCCGAAAAATCGAGGTTCTTTGATACATTGGGGTGCACATAAAAGATCCCTTGAATAAGAGTGGGCCACAGTGCCGCTGCTTAGGCAAAATATCCCTCATAGCACACTGTATGGCGTATGCCCGTCTTTATTAGCCCAGTATAGAGCAGAAAAGTAGGACGTTAAACCCCATTTCATTTCATTTATAATATTTTGTTTATCAAAGAATCGATTTCCAGCATCATGGCTCTCCTCACTTACATACCGTGGGTGTAAAGTATCAAAGATGAAATACTGAATTCATTGAAACTATCTGCATACTGATCAAAGCTAACTAAAACTTTCATAATTATTGCATATTATTAGGTTGTATTCATGGAAAGTTTATAAAATATTAATAATTATGAATAACATTTTTGTTTCAAATATGCATTCAAGTATTTAAAGATACATTATGGGAGATTAGATAAAGGGCTGGCAGTTTTCACTATAATAGTTAATAGATAATGTAATAGATAATGTAATAGATAATGTAAAGGGAATTTGCTGAAAATTTCAGTCAAATTGATCCACTCTGAACCAAGAATTTAGCGATTCAATTTTGGCCTAGCCTCGATCATCATTACTAAAGTCAGTACAGTAAAAAAAACATAGTCTTGATTATCCATTTTTTGATTTAATTTTCAGTGAGCGTTGTGCAGCAGATATGAATCTAATCCAGTAAATATCGTAGGCTAGCGATGCCATCGATAGTTGATTATGGTCTGGGTAAGTTAATTAATATCTAATTAATCATTTAGATAACATTTCAGGCCTATAGAAAGATGTGTAATTTGCAGATTTAGCTCTTGCATAATGTATGTTTAAATAAAGTCTTCATAATTTGTTTATAAAGGAATGACTTTCCACACCATTCACTGGCTTCTGAGAGGAAAAAAGACAACTAATTGAAACTTTGACAATATTTGTTTACCTTCAAAATCAGCATTTCCAACACCAACAATAATTATAGACATAGGAAGACTTGATGCCTAAAAAAAGCAAAATAAAATAACATTTTTGACAATTAAAGGAGAAATCTGGCCATTGCATTTTTTTAAAATACCATGTGCTATAATAACAATCTTGGTGAATAGATTTTGGACCAATCAGTTTAGATTGCACATGGTTTTAAATTTCAAAATTTTGCTTGCCTGACAATTTTAACTCATTTTGTGCACTTTAGAGTAGGAAGATTGTTTTCCAAATGGATGCCAATCTTTAGCATTATCCCAAATATTTTAAAGTGTTTAATGTCCACTCAACACAAATTAGGTAATTTTGGGACTAACATATAATTCAAATTTATTTCAATAATTTGCTTGCTTGCTGTTTTTATTTTAGCAGTGGGAGGAACCGGAGGAATTTGAGAAAACCTACAAAGTTGGACAAGGAACTTTCCCTTTAAGTAAAATAGATAAAAGATAAGATTACCTCTACAATAGATTTCACAGTTTGTGGCATGTCTGTTATAACACCATCAGTTATTATCAACAACACAAAATAACTTGATCCATCTCGTATTGGTGCAGCAAATCTGAAATATAAACATGTAACAATCTAATATACTTTTTTATTCTTTCAGTGGCTTTGCAAGGGAGCTTACATTGGTGAACTCCGACTGAATCAATCTTAGCACAGCTTAATTATACATCGATTGAACTGATCATTTCAATGTTTATTGAACTGATCATTTCATTGGCTAATGTTTATTGAACTGATCATTTCATTGGCTAATGTTTATTGAGAGTGTTTGTATTAATATAATATATTACTACACTGATATATTGATATACTGTAAAACATGAAATTATTGCGAGCATGAAATTATTGCAAAAATTGCGAGCGAGGCCCTCTCGCAATAATTTCATGTTCGCAATAATTTTGTGAAAATTCGTTGAAATGTCGGCCATATTGAATTATCCCCCCCTTCATTACTCTTCACAAGAAAGAGTCCCAATAAGTACCAATATCGCCATTTTGAAAGTAATAAAAATGTCGCATGCCATGTGTTTTATAGTCGCTCGTCAGCTTGGAGTTAATCAAGGGATTTAATTTAACAATAATTATTTAAAAATTGAGTTTGATAACAGGTATTTAATTTTCTTTGATCTGTTGAATACAGACTCAAAGCCATAATCCTCAATAGTTGTTTATTTACTGTTACTAATGATCACCAATCAACCGATGTTTTGAAGAGCCGACTGTCACCTCAAAATGACAAAATTTCATGTCGCAATAATTTTTTCCCCACTATAGAAATTCGCAATAATTTTATGTCGCAATTATGTTTCACCACCCCAACTCGCAATAATTTCATGTCGCAATAATTTCATGTTTTACAGTATTATGACAAACAAAAGAAACAATAGAGTGATTGCTTTGCATGCTAGAACTGATAACCGAGTGGTTACTAATGATAAAATACTTAGCCAATGTAATCAATTTTATATTTTTTCTAATGAGCCCGGAGCAGACTGATAAATGAAATGGGGTTTAACGTCCTACTGTTCTGCACCGAACTGGGCTAATGAAGATGGGCATACACCATACAGTGTGCTATAGGGGAAATTTTGCCCGGACAGCAGCACTACAGCCTACTCTTATATCGAATTCCAACTGCCAAGGGATCTTTTACGTGCACGGAATGTGTACACAGGACTTCGGTTTTTCATCCCACCATGTGAAGATATAACTAACCTTGCCACATGATTTATAACTGGGGAGAAGTTAGTTGGTCCGTATAATTCCACTTGTGGAAGACAATTATGATACACTTGTAAAATACCATCTACACCGCTACAGTACGGATTGTTAGGGTTGAAATTCTGCAAATAAAAAATATCTAAACATTTGTATATTACAGATAAATATTTATACTTTCTAATATATCACTGATAAATATTCAAATATTATACTTTATGGTGAATAACTTTGACATTTCATGGGGGCCGGGTCTGTGTAATAAATCATAGGGGAGGGGTGGGGGGGAGATAATAGATGGTTAGGGTAGGAGGAGGAGGGGGTGAACATCATGGTGGCGGCTTGACACATCATGGGGGCTGGGTCTGTATAATAAATTATAGCAGAGAGGGAGGGAGGGGATAATTCACGTTGATGGTAGGAGGAGGGGGAGGTATACATCATGGTGTAGGCTTGACATATCATCATGGGGTATGGCATAAATTCGTCAATAATCCTAAACCCTTGTTTGGGTAAACAAACAATTAAATTATTCAAAAATCTGACTTACCACAGCGAATTCATGATGAACTTTACCATCCGGTAATCTGGCACCAAATCCTAAAACTGGAAATAATTTATCACTGAAAAACAAGATATAAATGATATTACCATTACACTGTAACAAAGGTTAGACGTCGGCAATATCAATCAAGGGACAGAATCACCAAACACAATCAACCAGTCTTTGAGATCGGCATTTGGTTTTCCCCTAATACGGTTGTTATCCATTTTTGCCCAATGATAGTTATATTGTTTCCATGTTCGATCCCTGTATTGGCAGAGAAAGTTCATCAGGATTTTCCGATGTGGTTTCCCCTTGTCAGTGGTGCAGAACGGAGGGCCTGACAAGGAGAGTTGTCTAATCGTTCAGATAGGACGAAAAACCAAGGTCCCGTGTATACATTAGCATGCACGTAAAAGATCCCTTGACAGTTGGAATTCGATGTAAGAGTAGGCTATAGTGCCGCTGCCTGGGCAAAATTTCCCTCATAGCACACTTGCTCAATCCCATTCGTTTATGAATACAATACTGTTTAGGTAAATCTAAATATATAAATTATAAATAAAATACTGTTTAAATATATAAATTATAAATAAAATACTGTTTAAATCGAAATATATAAATTCTCAATAATCACCTGTCATAATCTTGTACAATTTCCCCGACTGCTTGTATAGCAGCAGCATATTGATTGGGTTGTTGTGGATTTATAAAATGTAATGACGATGGCTGCCGTGGATGACCATTAGATGCTGTAAAATCTATAGCCACTGTAAAATTCATCTGCATCCTGAAGAAATATAGAAATGGATTGGAATTGAAAGGAATTAACACAGTATTTTTCTTATTTCTAAAGTTGAAATGAAATGAAATGAAACGAAACTACCGTTCTGCTCCAGCTGGGCTAATGAAGAAATGAAATTAAATGAAACAAAAGGGAATTAAACATCCTATGTTTTGCTCCGACAGGGCTAATGAAGGCAGGCATATACCATACAGTGTGCTATGAGGGAAATTTTGCCCGGGCAGTGTCGCTACAGCCTACTTTTCATCTAATTCCAACTGTCAAGGGAACTTTTACGTGCACGCCAATGTGTAGATGGGACCTCAGTATTTCGTCCCATCTGAATAACTTGACACTGTTTTTTGTCAGGTTCTCTGTCCTACACCAATGACAAGTGGGGATCACACTGAAAAAGTCTGAGGAACTTTCTCAGCAAACATTTGGATCAAATTAAGTGAATCAGCGCGTTACTCATTCAGCCACTATCACAACCTATTTCTAAAGTTACATGCCCAATGAGCGGAAGAAGAAATGTAAAATTAGTGCCAATAAATTCCATGCTAGACAGTCAAGACCAACAAATGCAGCTCAAATGAGAACCAAGCCTGGAAATAAGACACCTGTCACAGACAGGTACAAACAAAGACATTATCCAAATACAGATATTGTCAGGTGAAAATACAGATATTTTCAGGTGAAAATACAGACATTGTCAGGTGAAAATACAGACATTGTCAGGCACAGTTAATCTGGTGACTGTTGATATGGCAATGCATTTACAGAGAATACCCAAGCCTAGAAGTAAGACACCTGTCACAGACATTGACAGACACAAATTGAGGCTTTGTCAAGTACATTTCATTGGATGTATGTCTTGTATTCAAATTTGTCTTTTTATTAGTGCTTTAATAATACATGTTCCATACAAAATCAATGTCAATCCCAGAGATAAGTTTGCATTCTGCTTATGTCTGGTAAAACTCGCCGGCCATTTTCAATGTCACATGATGTATCCTTCCATCAGTCACTTCACAAAGATCCAAGATGGCGGTTCAAACTCTTTAGCAATTTCACATATTTAGCTAAATCACTGATATTGTGCCATAAAAATAGTTCTCAGTTAATGATCACATTGGCTGTTTTCGAAAGAACTTTTGATGTCAAGATGTGGAAAATGTTCCAAGGAGGATTAATATGTAACTCATGCAATCAATTGATGCCTAATTGTTGAGAAATCGTTACCATTTCATTTTAACAAATCCTGCCAATCAGTAGCCACTGGGGGCAGAGCTTAAGAACTGATTTCATGCTGATTAATGGCCGGTGAGTTTTACCAGAGATAAACGAAGGGTAAAGATATCTCTGGAATTGAGATTGATATGAAATGTCAGGTATTTATATTACAGGGGCCTGTTTCATGAAATTTTAACTAAGATAAAATCCAAATTTTAGTAATTTGATTAGACAATATTAAATTGATTTTAGTCCTTAGCCAATCAAAATTGAAGTATCTACTAAAATTTGGATTTTATCTTTAGTTAAGATTTCGTGAAACAGGCCACAGGAACTAGTACTGTTGTTTCCAGACTTGAGAGATGTATATCTACTCACCCTCGTTTGATATAGTCTAAGAAGATGTATAACTACTCACCTTCCCTTGATATAGTCTAAGAAGATGTATAACTACTCACCCTCCCTTGATATAGTCTAAGAAGGAATACACTGGAGTAACTTTTGAACTAATCAGGTGAACCTGAAAATATAAACACGACAATCATCAGTAACTTGATGTCTTAACAAATAAAAGTTATAGGGAGTCGCAGTAGTTGTGTAATTAGTGTACCTGAGAGTCCAGTGTTCGGCAGGGATCAAGTTTAGTTCCTATCTGTCAGTGGGTCTGTGTGGCTGATGAGGAATGTTTGTCTAGTTATTTGGATGATATAAAGACCTAAGTCCCCTTTTCTACTACTGACAGCAACATTTTCGTCTTCTCATTGTTAAATGCCAACTATCAAGTGGGAGGAAACCGGAGGACCCAGAGAAAACCCATGAGGTTGGACAGGCGATCCTACTCCTTGTCACGTACAACCGGGGATTCGAAACCACGCCAGTTGACTCAATGACAGGCCTTATGATACAGTGTTAACCATTCGGCCATCCAACCCCCCTACAGAATTTTGGACCATCCAAACAACTAGATTCTTCTCAATTTTATTTCAATAATTCGCTTGCACGTAGAGGTTTTTAGCAGTGGAAGGAAACTGGAGGACCCGGAGAAAACCCACAAGTTTGGACAGGGGATCCTACTCCTGGGCACATACAAGCAAGTAGTCAACACCATGCCAACTGACCCAATGACAGACATAATGATATCATGCGCGCGCGTTAAACCAGTAGACCCCCCCCGCACCCTCGGTTATTCAAGTGTACATGTATATGCACTATTTATTTAATATTAGAAAACACTTTGGGATTGCCACAGCTAATATAAATTGGACATTCAGATTAAGTATAAAACGGCTATTTTGTGATTTTTTGTTGTCCACAGTAATGTTAGACACTGAAGGACTTACCTGTCCGGAATCCTGGTAACTTTTCTTTTTGGCTTTTTTTTTGGTATTTACAACCTAAAATAAAAATATTTCCAATAATTAGTATTCATTAATTATTTGTAATAAATTAGTATTCATCAAAAATTAGTATTTAATATTAATTAGTATTCATTAGTAGATTTATGATGGTAAGTAGCCTTATTTCAGTAGTTTAGACGAATATTGCATTTCAAAACTCACTTGATAAACATTATGTGTCCCTGGACCTTTTTCTAATTCTCGTACATTGGATATAAATTCTCCAATAATCTCATGCCTGAAATATATGAAAAAACAAAACAATCATCCATTGGTCTTTGAAAGCTACATGGAGAATCACTTATTCTTTAAGGTAGTGGCTATAAAATCACACTAATACAAACCCTAAACATTTAAACCCTGAACTTAAAAAAAAACTTTTTTTTTTTCAATTGTCATTAATGTTTTAGATGTTAATGCATTTGCTTAAGAATAACAAATTCAAATACTCACGATCCATTACTATTCCAATCATAGCATTCTACTTTCACCGATCTACAAATCAATAATCAAAATTACAATAAAAGTCAAATGAGACAAACTGCTGACTGTGATTCAAAGAATTTTGAATCTCTCGTAAACTACTATATTGTGAAAGTTAAATTTCTAAAAGGAATATCAATCCACAAATGGTTCAATTCCGTTCAGTATTTACACAGATGAATTGAAATCTTCAGCAGATGAAATAACAAAACAAACACCCATCTAGAAATTTTAGATGGTGCTCCTTTGAATCCAAGCCGTTGACTATGATTTCATTATTAATTAGAGAGAGAGCAATGGGGTTTAACGTCCACTCGACACAAACTAGGTCATTTTGGGATCAACATATGGTTCAATTTTATTTAAAAAAATTTGCTTGTGCGTAGGGGTCTTTAGCAGTGGGAGGGAACCGGAGGAGCCAGCGAAAACCCACAAGGTTGGACAGGCGACCCAACTCCTTGTCACATACAACCGGGGAATCGAAACCACGCCAGCTGACTCAATGACAGACCTTATGATACAGCTCGCACGCTCCAACCATTATTAATTAGAATTATATATATATATATATCTGAAAATATTAGCATAACTGTAAAGCTTCACTACTTTGAAAAGATAAAAGGTATGCGGACACAAACTTTTAAAGTAGTGTTTCCCTCATCCCCTCCTTCCCCCTAACACAAAGATTATCAATTTGTAATTAGTTATTACCAACTTACACTGCACTGCCCTCCCTCCCCACCCACCAAAACACACAAAACAAAAATTATCAATTTGTAATTAGTTAGTACCAACCTACACTTCACTGCCCTCTCTCTCCCCTCCTTCCCACCCCCAACATAAAGATTATCAATTTGTAATTAGTTACTAACCTGTCTTTATCACCATTACATAAGGCTTGTAGTGAAACACAAAATGGTCGCCAAGTTGGATTCAAATTATTCTTTACTACTTCCGTTTTGTGACAAATAGTAAAACTTAAAACAAATGACATCTTCATTTTAACAAATTATAAATCAAACAATTTCATAGGTTCAAAAACTTATCAAACCATGTATAGAAAGGACTAACAGTAGGACGTTAAACCCCATTTCATTTCATAGCAAGGGCTAAAATAGGTCAAGTGACCCCTCAAAGATGGATTAGGAGCCATGGTGGCTCAGTGAGTAAGACTTTGGCTCGCTAACCATGTTTGCTTATCATGTTGCTCGAGAAAGTTCCTTAAGGTTTTCTGGCCTGGTTCCACCACGTAAAAGAACTCTTTCTTGTTGGAATTTGATATAAGAATAGGCCGAAGCGCAGCTGTCTGGGCAAAATAGCACACTGTATGGCATAAGCCCGTAATTATTTGCTCAGTCAGCTCATTTCATTTCTAACATGGACTAACGAAATGATGTACGTGTTCACGTGGAGATTCTACACGAACCCTGAGTCATACGTTCTTCCTGAAACATGCTCCCTTTCTGTATGTGAGAGAGAAATGGGGTTTAACGTTCACTAGGCACAGACTAGGTCATTTTGGGGTTAACATATGGTTCAATTTTATTTCAATAATTCGCCTGCGCGTAGGGGTCTTTAGCAGTGGGAGGAAACCGGAGGACCCGGAGAAAACCTATGAGGTTGGACAGACAACCCTACTCCTTGTCACGTACAGCTGGGGATTCGAAACCACATCAGTTGACTCAGTGACAGGCCTCATGATACAGCGCGCACATGCTAACCATTCGGCCATCTACCCCCCCCCCCCCACGTTGATGGACATTAACCCCCCCTTAGACCATCCAACCCCCCTGTAAAATCATTTAGTTATAAACCTAAATACCTTTGATCTTCATTTGCTCTGTAAAAAACTAAAAACGGGTCAGATTTTCCAAAGAAATCCTTTTTATCTAGATTGGTTGCTTTAAACTGCATGGTGATTTCATCCTGAAAGACATAAATCAGAAGAAATTATTATATATACAATTAAACATACATTATACAGAGGTAAATCTGTCTATTGCAGGTCTCTCTTTAGGCCTGAAATGTTATATAAATTAGTATACATTAATTAACTTATCCAGACCATAATCAACTCTCGATGCCATCGCTAGCCTGTGATATTTAGCGGATGGGAATACGTTTTTTTAAAAAGATAATAAACATGAAAATGGATATTCGTATTTACACAGTGATTTGCATTCTTAATACTTGATGGTGGACTGTTCCACAGTTTAGGAGCAGCAACAGAAAAGCTTCTGTCTCCACATTTCAATATATATGATCATAGCAATACACTTCAATTATTAATTATTTCATCTCCAACTGCATACCTAGGTAATTTGTTCTTAATAAAAAGTTATTGATATTCACGTGTGTAACAATATATCTCAATTAAAAATTAATTTTCATTAAATAAATACAGTCTTACCTTGTTTGTACTGACCTCTTCAACTCGTACTGGAAAATATAAACATACAAATATATTAACGGCTATAAACTGAATTTATACTAATTTGTGACTGTCGTTTGTTTGTCTGTCTATCTGTCTATTCAGGGTTGGAAGCACCAGGTTATCCGCTATAAGTTATAAAAATTCTAAACTTTGAGCGGAATATGTGAGGCATGTGAGATAAAATAGCCAATTCCATGTCAAGATACTGTAAAACATTTTAACAGAAATAAAATTAAATCCATCGGTAATTACCAGGAAGTGCATCATGAGCCAAATTTTCCCCCAAGACAGATGCAGTACGGTCAACTCTTACTTCATTTTTCAACTGTCAGGGGATCTTTAAGGTGTGGCCAATTGCAGACAACAGGACCCTCTTTTCTTGCCAGGGGGGAGAGAGAGAAATGGGGTTTAGTAATCAAGACTTTGTTTATTATTGTGACAACATTAGTAATCACAGTCCAGGCTAAGCTATAATTGTATCGACAACAGGGGATCACGTGGCTAAGTGGGTAAGACGCTGGCTCGCTAGCCTGGAGGTCGGGTGTTCGATCCCTGCATTGGCCGAGAAAGTTCATCCAGATTTTCAGGCGTGGTTTCCCCTTGTCAGTGATGCAGGATGGAGGGCCTGACAAGGAGAGCTGTCTAGTTGTTCGGATGGGACGAAAAACCGAGGTCCCGTGTACATATTGGCGTGCACGTAAAAGATCCCTTGGCAGTTGGAATTCGATATAAGAGTAGGCCGTAGCGCCGCTCCCCAGGCAAAATTTCCCTCATAGCACACTGTATGGCGTATGCCCATCTTCATTACCCCAGTTTAGGAGCAGAACAGTAGGACGTTAAACCCCATTTCATTTCATTTCATTTGTATCGACAACAGGTTGGCTAAGAGTGAAGTAATTTGACTGAAATTTTCAATTCTCTTTTCATTATCTATGTTTCAACTATTATAGTGAGAACTGTCAGCTCTTTATCTAATCTCCCATAATGTCACTTTAACTTAATACAAATATCAATTTAAAGGATCCACAATGAGAATCTTTAGAAATTTGGCCGATGGTGGAAGCAGGAAATGACACTGTTCATTGGAGGTGTTCACACATACTAACAAGTTCTTTTACTTTTGAAAATAATTAAAAACAAAATAAAGTCTTGATACTTACTGCTGATGGTTCCAAAATTCCCATGACCTTTACCCCTAAAACGAAAGGAAAAGGAAACACCATGAAAAAACAAACCGGAACTTCAATTTTGCCGGGTAGAGTGGGGTTGTATTTGAAGGATCAAATGATTTAGAGCTCACTCACCTTTATTAGAAGCTCTGTTAAAATATGTCTTACAATGAAATGAAATGAAATGGGGTTTAACGTCCTACTGTTCTGCTCCTAACCTGGGCTAATGAAGACGGGTATACGCCATACAGTGTGCTATGAGGGAAATTTTGCCCGGACAACAGCGCTACAGCCTACTCTTATATCGAATTCCAAATGCCATGGGATATTTTACGTGCATGGCAATGTGTACACAGGACATCGGTTTTTCATCCTATCCGAATAACTAGACAGCTGTCCTTGTCAGGCCCTTCGTCCAGCATCACTGACAAGGCCGAACCACGCTGGAAAATCTGATTGAACTTTCTCAGCGAGCCAGCGTCTTACCCACTTAGCGTGTCTTATAGGTGGGAGGAAAAAGGAAATCAGATAGAGTGTATTAACGTCCTACTGTTCTAGTCAAATTCTACATTGTTTTAAAACAATATTCATTTTGATTTGAAAACAGAGAGATTGAGAGAAATCGGGTTTAACATCCACTAATGACAAGTTAAAATCCGACTCGAAAATTGTGCATTTTTTTCTCGGCCAAATCACTGAGCATGAACCATACTCATTAGGTCATTTCGTGAATAACATATGGTTCAATTTAATTTCAATAATTCGTTTGTGCACAGGGGTCTTTAGCCGTGGGAGAAAACCGGAGACAACCCACAAGGTTGGACAGGCGACCCTACTCCTTGTCACGTACAACCGGGGAATCGAAACCACACCAGTTGACTCAATGACAGATCTTATGATACAATGTGCACATGCTAACCATTCGGCCATCCCCCCCCCCATTTGAAAACAAGCCGAAACTTATGAATGTATTTGAAAGTTTAAATAAATTCACCTCTATGTTCACTTTGGTATTTAAATGATATTCTATATTATTAATTTTGGTGCATTTTCAAATGTGCTTTACAAAACATAAATTATTACAAAGCAGTATCACAGACAAAGAAAAATATAATCATAAATTAATTATTAAGCAACAAATTATGAAGATATTATAAATAAAGGTATAAAACAAGACAACAGAAGTCAGTCAAATAAAAGATTACTGAGAGATTAACACAAATTCAGTATAAGCTAAAGACTTCTTTAAATAAAAAAGCTTTGAAAGATTTTTTTCAAAACAGCAAGAGACAAACAGCATTTCTGATAGAAAATCAAAGCTTATTCCATGCAATTGGTGCTCCTGCTGCAATAAAAGTCCTATCACCAATTGTTTTGAGTCTTGATCGTTTAGAACATAAAATTAATGCATCGGAGGAGGAACGAAGTGTTCGGGACGATGTATATAATTCAAGTAAATCTCGTAAGTAAAGAGGTGCAAGGCCATTAAGACATTTAAAAAGTAAAAGAATGATTTTATATTGAATTCTAAAATAAATAGGTAGCCAGTGTAACTCAACTACTGCTCTTTAAACTTTGATCTGGTGAAAAGCCTTGCTGCACTATTTTGTACGATTTGTAGTTTATTAATTAAAACATGTGGGATTCCTGCTAAAAGTGAGTTGTAATTATCTAATCTTGATGTTACTATAAGGGAGTTTACAACAGTTTTAATGGCATCAATAGTAAGGGTTGACCTAATTCTACTAATGTTTCTTAGATGGTAATATACAGAGTTGACAGATATTGTTAATTTAAGCATTCATGAACATATAATCGTCAAAAAGTACACCAATATTTCGAGCGGATTCAACCAAACAGACAGTATGGGAACCAATTTGTATCAGCCCCTGTTCAAGGAGTAGACTAAAGTCTTCAAGAAACAATTGTTCATGCTACTTTAACTGGGGGTCTGTATATTGTTATTAACCTGTGTTTACTCCGACTGACAGATAAAATACAGTCAATGTATTCAAATGAGGATAGTTTCATGTTTTTCTGGACAGAGACTTTAATACTGCCTTTGTAAATTAGAGCTACGCCGCCACCCCTAGTATGGGGGTTTATGTTCTTTATATGATATCCTTTCGGAACAAGATCAGAGATAGTATGATCGTCACTGTCAATACCAAGCCAAGTTTCGGTAATAGCAAGAGCATCAACTTTTGATTCACAAATTAAGTCATTTATTTCAGTTGCTTTGTTGTTAACCGATCGCATATTCAGGAGAGAGATGAAATTTTTTAATTTTAGCATCATTATCAATCTTTGGTACACGAAGATTGTTGTGATTGACAGTACGGTCGTTTGGTTTACAGACGATTCTAGTTGTTGTATGGACAGGGATTCGATTTCAAAGCTTAGCCTGACGCCTTTCCCCCCGCAGAACAGCCCCGTTTCGTGCATTTAACTAGACTCATTATAGCATTTTTTTTAGAAAGCTCAATTTATTTTCGGAGAAAATGTTACTTAAAGATACATTAGTTAAGAGTTTAATAAAGAGTTGGTCATTCTTGCTATAATAATTCAAAAATAGATGATATAAAAAGAAAATATTGAAAATTTCATTCAAATTACTTCAATCTCAGCCAAGTTATCATTGTTTGTAGTTTTGACAAGATGTGTGCACAGTGGTAACCAGGGCACTGATATAATCGGGACTTAGCCTCGCTTTCCCATTTTTAAATTAAATTTTTAAATGGCGAACCGTTTCAATTTAGTTAAAATCTCGAGGATCCGATGCCATCGAGAGTCGATTATGGTCTTGTTTTGTTAATAAATGTCCAATTAATAGTTTATATAACATTTCAGGCCTAAAGAAAGACCTGCAATAGACAGATTTAGATCTTGCATATAATGTATGTTTAAAGAAAATTGTATCAAGAAGTCTCTGGACTACTTCAGCGACATTACTGATTGGTAACCACTGACACAGTCATTGTCACACCTGAATGATCACTATTAAAAATCCGTAGACACACAAATCTTGCAAAAATTTCGCAAATTTCACACAAAAAGTTAAAAAAATTACCTCCCACAATGTGTCGACAGTAGTCCTAAAATGTCCATACAAAAAATGGCACATCAAAATTGTATATAAATAACATAAAAATCCAAAAATTCACACAGGTAAACACGAGCAGCATATCACGATCAGCTTCACTTTTATTATATGTTTCTTTATTCATGGACGGAGACAAAAAAAGATCAAAATCTATCAGATCTAATTGACACTGAATGTTGTATACAGAAATAATGGATACCACAAAAAAAAACCCCAGTGAACTTAGGTGTACTGACTAAATCCACATTGTGCTGACAAAATTAAATGGGGTTTAACATCCTACTCCGACTGGGTTAATGAAGACGGGCATACAACATAGAGTGTGCTATGAGGGAATTTTGCCCAGATAGCGCGGCTATGGCCTACTCTTATACTGAATTCCAACTGCTAAGGGATCTTTTATGTGCATGTACCCTCAGTTCTGCACTACTGACAAGGGGAAGCCACACTGGAAAATCCCTATTAACTTTCTCGGCCACTACAGGGAGCGAACCCACAACTTTCAGGCTAGCGCGCCAGTGTCTTACTCACTTAGCCACCGTTACAGCCACATTACAGCAAGACCCTCATGTATCATACACAAGCCACATTACAGCAAGACCTTTATATATCATACACAAGCCACATTACAGTAAGACCCCCATACATCATACACAAGCTACATTACAGTAAGACCCCCATACATCATACACATTACAGTAAGACCCTCCGCCCCCATACATCATACACAGGCCACGTTACAGTAAGACCCTCATACATCATACACAAGCTACGATACAGTAAGACCCTCATACATCATACACAAGCTACATTACAGTAAGACCCCCATACATCATACACAAGCTACATTACAGTAAGACCCCCATACATCATACACAAGCTACATTACAGTAAGACCCCCAAACATCATACACATACCACATTACAGTAAGACCCCCATATATTATACTTCCAAGGATATGTGCCAAGCTCCCCCCCCCCCCCACACACACACACCACACTACACCCAAGCCTCCCTTAGGGACCACGAATGATACATTGAAACCAGGCTCGATTATACAGAAGATGACGACTAATCTGTAACAGGTTACTACTTGGCAACATGCAAGGAACTTGGGAGTTTACACGAATGATACATTGGAACCAGGCTCGATTATACAGAAGATGACGACTAATCTGTAACAGGTTACTACTTGGCAACATGCAAGGAACTTGGGAGTTTACACATGCAAATATACGTATAGCTTTATTCAAAATGCATAACTCCATTCACTTTTTCAAAATTATTATTGTATTTTTAGCACCTATCCCACATATATATAACAATATTTATATGTTTTGACCATTCAGTCGTTTAAAATGAAATTAAACGAGGTTTGACATCCTCCTTTTCTGCACCAATGAGGCCATTGAAGTTATATTTATAGCACGGCTTTCGTGAGTTAACAGGTTTAACCAGAGGCCAAAGGCCGAGGGGTTAAACCTGTTAATGAATGAAGCGTGCTATAAATGACTTAACATTGACACCTGCTCAACATGCTTGTTGTTATTGCACAGAAAACCCACCCCACTTCTCTATATGATTTCTACTAAAACTAGTGTAAACCAACAAAAGTGTGCAATAACATTGAACATGTCTAGTTATTGCACGGCTAAGCTCCACCCAATCTACTAGAGGGAAAACAATCTGCTTATTCAACGAAAAGAACAAAGGAAGATTTCCCATCCATGTTACAAGATAGGCGTACTCCATGCAGTGTGATATGAGGGACATTTTGACTTACTCTTCACCAAAAGCCAACTGTGTTTTTGTCCTATCCGATTAACTAGATGCTTTTACTTGCATGACTCTCCCCCCTCCTGCAATACTGACAAGAGGTAGACGAGGATTGATACTTCCGATATTTCTTAGACAACTCCAAAATGAAGCTCAGAAGCTCCAGATTAGTGAGGCTGGTTCTAATTTTTACTCTCAAAATGGTCGCCATTTATCATTACCTTTTAGATAATCCCTATCCTTATATAAATACACAAATATCACCTTACTTTAAGGGTTTGTTCATACATCCTTGGGCACTGACTAATTCTCCTAGAGAAGCTTCGTAGATTCCAAGGTAATCCTGTCAAAATAAATATAAATATTCAAAAAATGGGTGAAAAAAACAAACTTACTTTAAAGGTTTTTCAACTCTTCCGCCAGAAGAATTTACTACTTCTCCAAGACTAATGTCTAAACAGCCGAGAAAATCCTGCAAAATATTTGGATGGTTCTTACTTAAAGATAATGTAAAATGGACTGGATGTTAACGTCTCGTCAGTGCTGTGAGAAGGGGGGGGGGGGTACTGGTGGTGGTGGATGGCTGACTGAATGCATGAATGCATGATTATAAAGTCTGTCATTGAGTCAACTATTGTAGGTTGGATACCCCTCGTGTACTTGACAGAGTCGCCTGTCCAACCTTGTGGGTTTTAATCAGGTCCTTCAGCTTACTTCCACAGCTATAGAACCCTACATGCAAGAGAATTATGGAAAATCATTTGAACCATGTGTTAGTCCCGAAATGACCTAGTTTGTGTTGAGTTGTCGTTAAATCCATTTCCTATCTCTCTAATGTCTTGTCAACACTAGCAAGAACGATCAGGGCCCTTATTCACGAAAACTTAAACTAAGATACAAGCGAAATTTTAAGAAATACTGCAATTCGATTGGCTGACCAGTAAAATCAATTTGCATATATCCAATGAAGTTGCAGTATTTCTTAAAATTTTGGTTGTAACTTAGTTTAAGTTTTCGTGAATAAGGGCCCAGCTTTCTATCTAAGTCTTTTATAATACAACTTTAATTCAGCAACTTACATGATCATCCAGTCTCACACTATGTGAATCTACATCATACCTGAAAAAAAAGTCATGATAACAAAGAATAAATATCTAGAATTACTATGCCACTTACACAAATGAAATGAAATGGGGTTTAACGTCCTACTGTTCTACTCCGACAGACATACACCATACATTGAGCTATAAGGAAAATTTTGCCTGTGGCCTATTCTTATATCGAATCCCAACTGCAAAGTGATCTTTTACCTCAGATTTTTGTCCTATCCAAATGACTAGACTGCTGTCCATGTTAGGTTTTGCATTATGCACCACTGACAAGGGGAAATCAAGCCGTAAATCCAGATGAATGCCACTTACAAAAACTTATTTTTATTTTAATAATACACAGTGGAAGGAAACTGGAGAAGCAAGGGATCAAGCTCATGCTTTTACACTGATTGACAGACCGAATAAATGTGTGTGGTAGATATGAAATTAAATAGCGTTTATCATCCTACTTTTCTGTACCGAAATGAAAGAGAGAGAGAATTGGGGTTTCACGTCCACTCAACTCAAACTAGGTCATTTCGTGACTAACATATGGTTCAATTTTATTTCAATAATTCGCTTGTGCGTAGGGGTCTTTAGCAGAGGGTGGAAACTGGAGGACCTAGAGAAAACCCACGAGGTTGGACAGACGACCTTACTCTTTGTCACTTACAACCAGGGAATCAAAACCATGCCAGCTGACTCAATGACAGACCTTATGATATAGCGCACATATGCTAACCATTTGGCCATCCAACCCCACCAAGATTGAGTGAACCAAAATACTAACACCTTCCAAACTGAATTCAATCAATAGGAAACTTTAAATTTTCTCCTTGTTTTGTATATAAATCAGATAAAGTTTTGTATTTTTAAAATTACTTACAGTTCAAATCTCAATAACTGTCTTTCTTCAAAAAAATATTGCACAATAAATTTTTTAACAAAATCAGGATTTAATGTGTCTTTTATTTGTTCTGTTCTTCCAACCTACAAAAAAAAAATATTCATTATTATCCCAATCTATTTTGCAGAAGAATTAGAATTTACAGCAAAAATGGGTACAAACCTCCCGATCATTTAGTAATTTCATAATCTTTGAGTGGCATTTAGCGATTGAACACATTAAAAAACACAAGAGAGAGAGACATGGGGTTTAACGTCCACTCAGCACAAACTAGGTCATTTTGGGACTAACATGATTCAATTTTATTTCAATAATTCGCTTGCATGTAGGGGTCTTCGATCAGCAGTGGAAGGAAACCTGTGGACTGGGAGAAAACCCACCTCCCTACTCCTTGTCATGACAACCGGGGAATCGAAACCACACCAGTTAAATTAATGACACCCTCCCATTCTGTAAAGTAAAACCAGAACGAAGATTCAAAATTATAAAAATTTAAAAAAACACAGAAATTACCTCTCTGTACGATTGTGATCTAAAATCTCTCATCTTTAAAACACACAATGGATCCGATTTAGAAAATGTGTCCATATCTCGTAAATTTCTGAAAAATAACCCAAAACAAATAAAAACATGAATTGCCAGTCAAAAAAAGCGGAATAGTATAAACTCTGAAACCGAAAGTGGTAGTGTGAAACAATCAGGAACATGTTAATCCCCAATTCCAATTGCCCTTACACCCAAAGCTTCAACATCGGGGCAGCTCGAGTGTAGCTGTCAACCTCGAACATACAAAAAAAACACCAATTATTATATATACTATTATTTGTGACTGTCGTTTGTCTGTCTGTTTGTCCTTACACCCAAAGCTTCAACATCGGGGCAGCTCGAGTGTAGCTGTCAACCTCGAACATACAAAAAAAACACCAATTATTATATATACTATTATTTGTGACTGTCGTTTGTCTGTCTGTTTGTCTGTCTGTTCGGGGTTGGCGGCTACACTAGGTCTGCCCAGAGTCTGAAATTTGGGGTATAGGGGTAGCTCGGACCGGGGAGTAACATTGGCCAGGTGGCGTTAGTCTACCACTTTCGGTGTCGGGGTTATGACTCCCGAGCGAAGCCGGGCATTCTTCTAGTATGAGATAAAATGGGCAAGGTGACCAGATATCCCTATTTGAATAAAGGGGCATTATGGAAGATTAGTTAAAGAGCTGACAGTTCTTGCTATAACAGTTACAAAATAGATAATGTAAAGGGAATATGCTGAAAATTTCAGTCAAATTGCTCCACTCTGAAGCTAGATATTAGCAATTGAATTTTAGGCCTAGCCTTGATCATCATTAATAAAGTCGGTATGATAAAAAAACATACTCTCGATTATTTTTACGTTAAATTATTCATCACAAAATGTATTCAAATCCAGTAAATATTGCAGGCTTGCGATGGGATCGAGAGTTGATTATGATCTGGATATGTTAATTAATTTCTATTTTAATCATTTAGATATGTTTCAGGCCTAAAGAAAGACCCGCAATAGGTAGATTTAGCTCTTGTATAATGTATGTTTAAAAAGCTTTCTACTGTACCGGATCAATGACAAAATATGAACTTTGGCATCCCCAATTTTTTCCCTTTTGTTGTATGTATAATTTTGTTATACATGTATGTATAATTTTAATGTTACCTGCAGGATACACTGATTTCAACCTGTGTTACAGGCACACTCGCCCGTCCTGGATCAAACGAATTCATCTTCTAATTCAATATCTTTCTTTTTCTTTATAAAACTCAGAAACTGAAAAAAAAAACCCCAGATTTAATCACATTTATATTCAAATTTGAAAAATCTTTTAATTCTGTTTATTCTGAAAAGTAAGTTTAATATTTAAATTTGAAAAAAAATATGCTTTACAGACATCATGAGTATCACAATGGTACCATGTTTTTTGTGTATTGAGTCAATAAAATTGATGGCAATGGGATCCTGGGCATAGGCGTACGTGGAAATTTTTTACTGGGGGGGGGGGGGCGGTGGTGGTTGGTGCCCCAAAAATGTAGTTAGGTTTTTAGTATGTTACATAATAATCATAATATCTCTTTTGCGATGAATAAGTTCTTAATTTCTAAATCATCAATAAAAGAGAACTAAATTTTATTTACTTGTAATATACACAACTAAAAACAGTTGTTTAGGTAACTGTAATTTGTCGCTTACTGTACTCCAAACAATAGAGGGTTCAAGTCTTAAGATTTCTATTTAATTGCCTAACTATAGACACTCTGAATTTAAATTCGCTGTTAAATTGGACGCATTCAAGAACACAATATTTTTTTATACAACTTTTACAAAGTACAATTGTGTGCCCAAATTTTCCCAGCATTTGGTGCCCAAAATGGGGGGGCGGCTGCCCCCCCAGCTCGTACGCCAATGATCCTGGGATCATTTTACCCTGATCTGATGGTGAGTGCTAAATGATAAGACCAGCTCAATTTTTCGTCATAGGTCACGAGATATAAACAGGGCTAGCACTAATCCCAACCCTAACCCTAACCTGCATGCTTACCCTAACCCTAACTTACAATCTCGCCAACAAATACTGGATTCCCTTTAAAACATCCATGGAGCGCACAGAGGACAAAAATGAGAAGGTGTCACTATTTGTCAATCTGACGATTAGGGCTGACTACTTGAGTGACGTCAAGGGTTGGACGCATACATTGTCTGACCTCTGTTCATTAGGAAGCGCTTGATGTTGATTAACATGATCGTGAGTGGACACGGGGAAAAATATAAAGACTTAATAAACATACAACAGATTCCGAGACTAAACAGCAGAAAAAGAAGTGGACAGGGGTAATCCCAGAATTTACTTAGGATTCGATATTTATTGTAAATGGACAGCGATTAAAGACAACATCCTCTTTAATATGCCAAGAATTTTTCTTCGACTCTGCAGCCTTGACTAGTTTCCCCGACCGCCAAGTCACATGACACAAACATGGCTTCTTTAAATAGCTTGTTTATAGCTTGGGTATGTCCTCTCCAATACAATGTTTTGCCAGGGATTTGAAGCAAAGTTTTGATTAATTAGTTTGAATATGTTTTCAGCCCAAGTATATCATCAAATCACAAAATTTGTACATGGGAAGGCATCGTTAAATGTTCAAAACACAAAGTCAGTGGATGGTAACTTCAATGATGAATTAAGTACATGTATGTTCACAACGCCCTTGAAAATAGCTCTTCCTATACAACTATTCAATCAAATAGTCAATGCTAAGGCCAAACCTGTTGAATTTTCATTTCTTCCTAGTCTTAACAAATAAATAGCCACTTAAATCATATGAAAGATTTTTTGTTTAAAATTTCAAAACTTATAAATTTTGGAACTAAAAGCTTTTGAACAGCATAATCAAGTACTTTTGGTTTTTAAATTAGTCTCTTTCTAGAAGAAATAGAAGCAGAATTTTAACTGGTGATCCAGAACAACAGAAAATCATATTGTTATGGCCTGTATATATTTTGTACCGTTAGAACTATTTGATAAGGCCAACTTCAAGTTTGGTCAAAGGTCACAAGATGTAAACAGGGCTAGTGCTAATCCCAATCCTAACCCTAACCCTGGACCTAGCCCTAATGCTTACCCTTACCCTAACTTACAATCTCGCCAACAATCACGTGCCCTAACCTTATTTACATAGAGCAGCGACCTTAACGAAAATTGAGCTGGTCTTAACAAAAAGGTTTAGCCCTTTTGTACATATTTGCTTTGCAAGGATATCATGATCTTGCATAATAAATGTCACTTGACTGATTCATAGTCCTGTTTATCATGTCTTTTTTTTCCTTATTTTTATTTTTCATGATTACTTCTTTTTATTATGTCCGTGTTACTATAGTAACACTTATAATAGAAACTTTATTTTTTAATTGAGGCAATTTAAATTTATTCAGTTTGTAAACAACTATAGTCTTCCATAAACCCCTCTTACAAAACATAATGCATGTACATATAATATTTAAGGGAAGAATACAAACTTTTATAAATAAAACAAGATGAAAACATAATGCATGTACATGAAATATTTATGGGAAGAATACAAACTTCTATAAATAAAACAAGATGAAAAGCAATTTAAAGGAAGAAGCTTTGGTTAATTAATAATAATAATTTCATTAATAATATGAGCACATGATGAAAACAAAACTAAAAAAAAAAAAAAAAACAGCAAAGAAATGAAACGGAGTTTAACATCCTACTTTTCTGAATTGACTATAGATTAATCAAAACAGATATATCTACAGTGTGTTATGAGGGATATTTTGTCCTTTAATGCATTCCTACTGTCAAGGGTTCTTTAACGTGCACAAAAGACCTTTGGTTTTCCATCCAATCACACTGTCCTTGTTAGACCCTCCGCCCTGCACTACTGACAAGGGGAAACTACACTGGCATAACTTTTTTTGGCCAACACCGGGATCAAACCCATACCTCCTGGTTAGCGAGCCAGTGCTTTTTCCACTGTGCCACCACAGCCAAAAAACAAAAACAGTATGATAGCAATTTAATAACATGGTTTCTTTACTTCTTAGATTCAATGGGTTTTTAGTTTAAACTTAAAAATTTCAACATTTTTACATCAAGGTTGATTCTTCCTCACAAGACATGCAGAATAATGAGAAGCCAATCTGTTTTACACAGGTATTGTGAAAGGCTTAAAGATTCATTATGGGAGATAAGATAAAGCGATGGCAGTTATCGCTATAATAGTTAAAAACTAGTTAGTGTAAAGGTAATTTGCTGGAAATTTCAGTCAAATTGATCCACTATGAGCTGAGAAAGAAGCGGGTGAAATTTTTGCATAGTCTCGGTCATCATTACTAAAATCATTAATATAAACAGCATAGTCTCGATTATCCACTTTTTCTGATTTAATTATCAGTGGCCGTTAGCGGCATATAGGAATCTAATCCAGCTAACATCGAAGGCTAGCCTTGACATCGAGAGTTTATTATGGTCTGGATAAGTTAATTAATGTCTAATTGATAATTTAGATAACATTTCAAGCCTAAAGAAAGACTTGTAATAAGCAGATTTTGCTCTTGCATAATGCATGTTTAACTAATACCTGTATTTTATCAAAAATGACATCAAAACACGGTTCGTGTGCATTGTTTACAGAAAGTCTTAAGACGTTGCTGCGTTAACTGGTCCGGGCAGAATGGTGCCTTTTACTCATATCATATACTCATTTACACTAAATAGGAAATATTTGTCTAGATATACTTCAAACACCTTTATTTATTTTTATAATACTTCAAAAAGATGTTTTAGTATTTAATTTGAAGATGGAAAAAAGTTAATATCGTAAGCTCATTGTCATCCCTATCAGTGATCCTTAGTCACTGCTGATCAGGGGGAGAGCATGCTCAATAATCGGTGTAGACTGGAATAACCAGACGCTAGATGTTGCCATTCAATTAAGACTTATGGCATATTTCGTCGAACATAACTGATTTGAAATTAGAGTAAACGGAAACGACCGAATGTAAATCAATTTATGTACATTCATATTACATTATTATATGCGTTGCGACCCATTTGTGTCAATTTCTAGGTCGCAAATATAAGGGATTTAACTCCTTAAATGATTGTCCCTTGGACAAGCCCCCAGAATCCCATTTTGACTCACTATACTAACAGCTCTCCCACCGCCCACTCCACTCGACACATCCACTAGGAATTGCTGGAATAACATATGGTTCAATTTAATTTCAATGCAATAATTTCACTTGTATTACGGGTCTTCAGCTGTGGAAGAAATGGGAGGACCCTGTGAAACCCAAGAGGTTGGACAGGCAACCCTACATATTGTCCTGTACAAGCGGGGAATCAAAACCACGCCACTTAATTGACTCAATTATGACAGAACTGATCATGGTCACGGTCCGTCACACTCACACAAATGCAATTTGTATGTCAGATTTATCTGCTTATGCTTTATATGTATAAATTTTGGGGCTCCTTTTGTATTTGTATTTATATTGTTCTTTTTACAATACTCATGTATTTGTGTAATTCTGTATTGTTATTGTATAATTCAAAGGGACAATAACACTCTTGCTGGCTTGACAGCTCCAGAAAATAAAAAATAGCCTTATTCTAAGTACTAGATGTGTTGGTGTCTTACCTGTTGTGTATATTATCCATTAAATCCTACATGTATTTTACTTGTCCAAAGGGTTCAAAAATATTTTTAAATCCAAGTCACATTTGAAAAGCTTTACGTCAGGCTTTTCAAATCATTTTGTTGAATTTTTCCAACTTTTTAAATTAGGTGTGTTAAAGTTACAATTTCATATTTCTAAGAAAGTCAAAACATAATTATTTCTATGTGTTTTGCTCAATAGGTTGTCAACTCACTATTATACGATCATAGGTAATCTTCCTCACACTTAAAAATCTTCACACCGGAAATAATAACACAATTACCTCCCTTGTTTTCCTATTCCCCACCATGGAATAGCTATCTTCAAACTAGATAACAAACCTTAATCTCTCAACCCTCCGTGTTTCGTGATAAGACATGAGGCCATTACCTTCAACGTAGCACATGCGGGAGCGATTCGCACCCGGCATTTGTAAACAAAATTGACAATATTTTTAATAAAAACAACGATTGATTATTGTTATTTATAATATTTCTGCCAGACCCAACTACAATTAAGCATAAAATCCTACCTGAAACAGGAACAAATCGTCGTTTTTATAATCGAGGCTTTAAGCCGTTACTAAGACCGCCATCTTTTTAAACGATACGCTGTCATCATGAAGGCGGGGCTAAATATAAGGCTTTTATAACAGCCAATCAAAAGGGCAATCTAAAGCACTGTAACGATGAATGGATTTCGATGGCGGTAAACGTCAGACAAAAACTACGCTTCATTAATTTAAACGTGAATATTTAGAGTTAGGCGACAGTTGTGCCACTACAATGGCCTCTGTAACGTTTGAATTTGAAGTTGAAAATGATATTTATGCCAATTTCTCAACTGGCAATAGTGAATTATAGGATTAAGGGTTATTTTTTTAACAAGGCAGGACTGTTTATAGATACATGTACCATTTATTTTAGGGCTTTATTTTAATACATTTTAAAAATATTACTTAAAAATATGAAATTGTAATTTTCAGATGAAATTTGTATCATCAATTAATTGGAATATTGTAAAATAATACAATTTGTTGACCAGTATAAAGATTGGGACATATTATTCAGTTACAACAAGAGTGGAACTGGTATTGAGCCTTTAATGACAGGCACAAAAAACAAAAAAATGAATAACAATTAACAAATAGTGTGAACCTGAACATGAACAGTCACATTAAAATAATATTCATAATTCTATATTTACCACTTAGACTTACCAATATCCAACAGGTTATGTGCAGATTATTTCAAAACATCTTGCTATATGTCACTACTAAACTTACAAAATATCGTATATTAGTCCTATTGCGTAAATCCTCCAGAATATTATTTCTGTACTTTTCCCACTGTCACTGAATGACGTCTTTACTCGTTCCCACTTTCTATTTAATTTGGTCTAAGGGGGGTAACTCTATTTACTGGAACAGGGATGAGAATGATAATTTTGTCCCAAAAAATGAGATTATCAACGCCCGTGACTGAAAATATAAACTCTCTTTGATTTTAATTAAGTAATAGTCAACAGAAAATAGCCTAGGAGGTGATGAAAAAAAAAGGGAAAAGCGACAAAAAAAATGAATGTAGTTCGACATCATGAATCAGGGGACATAATTAGCAGTCTCAAGCCAACTTTACATGCTCTTTAGTCTATAAAGAATAAAAACGGACACATTGAGACATTACCAAAAGAATGGAGGATTTGACAGGCTATCTTGTAGCGATCGGGGCTATTTTAGTTTGTTTGGGATTTACATTATTAGCTCTTCTTGTATATTCCGGCCTTTTTGAAAATGTTACCGTCGGAGCTGGACCTCCACCCATAGGCGAAGTGTTCGTCGCTTATCGATTCAGTAGAGGGCCTTACAAGGAGGCTGGTCAGATATTTACAGAATTGACACATTTAGCTCCTGACAACAAATGTTTAGGAATATATTATGATGATCCTAAACGGGTAGGTAACATATAATCAGGTGACTGAAAAACATTTAATACCACAGAATTGTTTCTGTTTGCTTCGATGCAGTCCAGGGTTTAGACTGACGAGTGACACTTGTTTATTTGTACAATGATATTAAAATGACAAGTCAGCTATTTCTTGACAATGACATGACATATCATCTTTCAGACATTTCGACCGCAATAAAAATGTGTCTCAACTTTTCGGACTCGGGTGACACAATGGCATACCTGATGATCTAAAGTGCTATTTGGCCACCCATTATCCCCACATTTCATAGCAAAGCCTATCTTCAAATCTCTACACGGATCTCTGAAATGCTATATTATCTCCAGCTCTGGAATCTTTTCTCCCCCTTCCTCTGAGACAAAGCATCCAAACTACATATTTAAACCCACAACCAGCAAGGTGTAGAACTACTCCTTTAATATTGGTTTTTTTTGTTTTCTCTGTCAGAAGGGTTTGGATGGCCGAATAGTTGGTATCACGTCATTTGGGACTCAACATAAACGACATTTGGGACTCAGTTGACGACGTTGGCGTCAATTGGGACTCAACACAAACGACATTTGGGACTCAATATAAACGACAGTTGGGACTATTTATTTATGAGATATACATGTATAGTAACAGCTGTCTTAGTTGTCTTTCGTTTTATTTAGTTGATCGGCGATTGTTGAGACCGCGATTAACACTGCTAGTTCTCCTTTGTTTTGTTTTATCTGCGAGTATAAAACTTCTCCTTTGTTTTGTTTTATCTGCGAGTATAAAACTTGACATTAATATATTGTTGAAAATTTGTGTATATTTAGTAATACTTCGTTGTTTTTCTTTTATCAAATAGTAAACGAGCTTGATTGACCGACTACTGCTCATGTTTTTTCGTGAAACGGTATAACTGCATTCAACACACGGACGCCATTCTCGATGATTGACAACTCACATTTTTCCTCATCCACCAAAGAACCGTTAGGTTTCTTTGAACATACTGCAATAACATCGGGATTATCAGTTAATCAGCTTTAATTATCCCGCTTTGATCGTTGCCATTTCTTATATTTTCCACAAAAAAACTTTGCCTTGTACGCACTAATTTATTGATTGGTATTGCCATCTACGACAAGCATGTCAACGTGCAGCTCACGGATTATCGTTAACAATTTCTAGGGGCTTGTAAAAAAGATTGCATGTCGTGTAAATATTTATATTGTTTTTTTGTGTAGGTCATTTTCAAATAAATTCATCAGCATATTATTAGTTTTAAATAAATATATAACTTTTATGAGAATCGATGATTATCAAAGAACCGTAAGTGCAACAAATGTTTTATCGTTTGGTTGAGCCTTTTACTAACCACGTGTTTCATGTTAATAAATATTTTCTTTCGTGTTTTGAATTTGCCTATTTCTAATAAATTATCCCGATACGAGTCCCAAACGTCGTATACCCGAGTCCCAAACGACGTATACCAAAGTCCCAAACGTCGTATACCCGAGTCCCAAATGTGGTCATATTTTTTTGAGTCCCAAATGACGCGAGTCCCAAATGACGTGAATCCCAAATGACATGTAATCGAATAGTTAACGCGTGCACGTATCATGAGGTCTGCCATTGAATCAACTGGCGTGGTTTTGATTCCCCGGTTGTTCGTGGCAAGGTTGTTCGGGGGTTTTCTCCGGGTCCTTCGGTTTCCTCCCACTGCTAAAGCTAATTATTGAAATAAAGTTGAATCATGTTAGTCCCAAAATGACCTCATTTGTGTTGAGTAGATGTTAAACTCTCTCTCTCTCTCTCTCTCTCATTCATTCATTCATTCATGTGTTTGATGTAGAAAGAGAAACTGACTCTCTCTCTCTCTATCTCTCTCTCTCTCTCTCTCTCTCTCTCTCATTCATTCATTCATGTGTTTGATGTAGAAAGAGAAACTGACTCTCTCTCTCTCTATCTCTTTTCTTTGTCAAATAAAAGTTACAGTGATAAGTTTGGACAAAAAAGTTTGATTCATAAACTCTGTGCAATTACAAAAATCATTTTGTATTTTTTAATTCTTTTTTTAGGTTCCATCCCATTTAACTAGATTTGTTGTTGGATCAATCCTTGCCTACGATGATCAGGAAGTAGATCCAGATATGAAGAAAAAATTTGAAGAAAATGGATACAAATTTATGCGATTACCGAAAGTCACAAATGTTGTGAAAACATCATTCCCACATATAAGTTCTTTTTCAATTTTTATCGCCATATTCAAAGTTTATCCACTGATGGGAGATTATGTACAGGTAAGTCAGCTAATGTTTTATCAATAATTGGGGTGACTGGGAAGCATTCTGTGTGGTATAATGGTAGAGAGTGATGCCAGACGTTAGCCAGAATGTCGTTTCAAAATATTACATATCGTCTTGCTCACGACATTCAAATATGAATGAAATGAAATGGTGTTGAATGTCCTACTGTTTTGTTTTGACTGCGTTAGTTAAGATGGGCATACGTGTACACCATATAGTGTTCTATGGGAGAAATTTTGCCAGAACAGATGCGCTATAGCTTACTCTTATATCGAATTCCAACTGCCAAGGGATCTTTAACGCATACACCAATGTGTACACAGGACCTCGTTTTTCATCCAAACCGAATGACTATACTTTGTCCCTTGCCAGGTACTCTGTCCTAATCCACTGACAAGGGAGCAACCCTGCCAGAAAATCCCTTGGCCAACAATGGGATTGAACACGGGACCTCCAGGCTAGTAAGCCAACGTCTTACTCTCTGAGCCACCGCTGCTTGAGACATTCAAACACACTTGTATACAGACATTATCACACACTTGTATTTCAATGACCGTCTTCATTAGCCCAGTTCAGAGCAAAACAGTAGGACGTTAAACCCCATTTCATTTCATTTGTATTTCAATGAAAATGTCATGCAAGTCCAATATTTCATCTAGTATACATTGTATGACACATTATCAACATCAAAGGATGACATCACATCTGTATTTTATGTGTTTATCATTCAACATTTAAAATTATTTATTTTAGTCTGAATAAATTTATAATTCAGCTATTTTTTTAAGTTTTACATGCATGTGAAGTGAAATGATATAAAATGGAGTTTAAAGTGCACATAAGATGGGTTTTGGAACTTTTGGATACGTGTAGCCAATGGTTACTATATCAACTTTACGGCAAGTTCACACCAATCTGATTGAAATTAATTCAGTTATCTTCACTCAAAGTCGTAAAAATGGACCTCCCGTGAAAACGACTTTGCCAATTATCGAAAACACTCTTAATCCCCTCAGACGCCAGTGACGTCACAGTGACCGAATGCATATTCGGAATGTTTATTCCTTAATTACCTTTATACAGCCGGCGTGTGTACTCATTAACGCCTGACTGATTCCTTAATCTCCCTTAGTTCTTAATTAAATAAAACAATTGACTTCGGAATAATTCGTTTTGTAATTCATTTTAATTTAAGATCCAATTTAGAGTGCCTACAACTTTTAAACTTTGAAGTCTTGAACTCTTGATTAATTTTTTACAATATGGAACTTATTGGACGAACACTTTTAATATGTAAATAATATACCGGTCCAGCTATGTGTTTTTTACTGCGAGCACTTCGCTTTTCCACATAAAGTGTAGTGTCGTTAATATTTGTCATTAATTAATCAATCTGACTATAAAAGTTATACAGGCATGGGTCATAAATTACACGTCGGTGTTAGCAGTGAGTGTTAGTGGGATTAAGAATGTTGATTAGGTAATTATCTTTTTTTACGCCGGCCAGATCAAAGACATCACTCTAAGTGGAACGTGTGCATAATACCTCATGAACGAACTAATGGTAGAATCGTACACCCACACATTAATTGTATAAAATCATTAAGTTTTACTCATCAGTTGTTTATAATTATTATTTACCCAATAATTATTGCTCACCAGTGTTTTTGTAATCAAGTAGCCTCGTATTATTTGTTGATTGGCGTTTAAACAACAATCGATTATCTTCTTTTTAATAAAAGTATTTTACAATTGCATTGACAGTTTAATCACTCACCAAACGGCACCAGGAACTCCACATATGATCCCGTGCAATTTTCGTGCCGAAGTTTAACCTCATTTACTACACCCGTAGTACATGTAACCGTAAATGGTAATAAGATTCCCAGCGTTGATTGGCTGAGAAATGAGGGCGATCTATTGTACATGTTATGCATAGTCATCGGAAAATTCCATATTCACTGTAAATTTCAAATGGAGTTACGATAAAAGTTGTTCTTTATGTATAGAAATGGTTATTATTATTATATATAGCTAATAATGAATATATCGACAAATGACTGGCGCCATTATATCAAGTATTACCGGGTTATCCAAATTACCGGTAAATGCGCTAATTTCTTGAGTCGTCTTCATTTGACATGTGGCCTATTTAAACAAAGGCAGCTTAAATGGATCTACGGCATGATACGGCATTTGAAATTCACTCTAAAATATTCCAATCACAAATGAAAGACGATAATTCGGTGATTATGATTACGCCAGTCACGTGGTAATTGGAACGTCAACAGACGCTTGTCAACTTGCCGTGTGTATTGATAGTGCTATATTGTACAGACGGTGAGATATTGTATAGATAATGTATATCCTATGTGTAGTGCCTGTGACGTCACCAGCTAATCAACCGGATTAAGGTCGTAATTGAAAAATTGAAAAGATTTTGGCGTGTCGGACACTTAAACTTTAACAGCCGACTTAATTTTAATCAGATTGGTGTGAACTTGCCGTAAAGTTTATATAGTAACCATGGGCTATACATACATGTAATTTAGATTTTCGATCATACGTGGTCTTTAACGTCCCCTTGCTCTGAACCAACCAGATTAATGAAGAAGACAGGCATACACAAGGCAGTGTGTTATTAGGAAAAGAAGGGATTGGGTGGCCGAATCGTGAACACGTTCGCATTGAATCAGAAAGTCTGTCATTGACTTAAACATACAATATGCAAGAGCAAAATCTGATTATTGCAAGTCTTAATTTAGGCTTCAGATGTTATCGAAATTATAAATTAGATCTTTATTTAAACAACAAGCCCAAAATCAACTCTGTAGACCCCCGGATGGCTCGGCTACAGCTCGGATTTAAATAGGATTTCACTTATTGATTAATTCAAATATGGCGCACACTGATGAGAATACTTCAGTTGGATCGAGGCTAAATGATAGAGTGTACTTAGCGAGGCCGCTGTAGGGCGTTTCCGCATGCCATTGAAAACTTAACATGATAATCGAGATATGTAGGGGGAGTTAACGCCTGTCAATCAAACGATCGGCCAAGGTGAAGGCACATTTCACTACCATTTCTTGTCAAATATTACAACGATGATAACTATGTTCAGAATAAAGTAATTTGACTTAAATTTTCAATATACTGTATTCTTCTTTCATCATCTACTTTTGAACTGTTATAGCAAGAATGGCCAACTCTCTATTAAAATCTCCCATAATGTATCTTTAAGTGGCATGATTTTGATTTCTTGCTTGTAGGGTCGCAGTGTGCTATGAGGGAAATTTTGTCTAGACAGCAGCATTTCTGTCTACTCCATTGCGGAGAGAGAGAGAGGGAGGGAGAGAGGGAGGGAGAGAGGGAGGGTCTAACTTCCACTCGCCACAAACTAGATCATTTCGGGACCAACATAAGGTCGCATGGGTGTAGGGGTCTTTAGCAGTGGGAGGAAACCAGACCACCTGGAGAACAGGTGAACAGGTTGAACAGGTGACGCTACTCCTTGTCACATACATCTGGGGGATCGAAATCGCACCAGTTGACTCAATGACAGACCTTATGATACAACGCCCACGTTCTAACCATTTGGCCCTCCAACTTCCCTATATTTGAATAATTGCCCACAATCTCACGTGACATAATTACATATGTTCATACGGTATCTCATATGAAATGAAATGGGTTTTAACGTCCAACTTTTCGGCACTTACTGGGTTAATTAAGACAAGCATGCCATACAGTATGCTACGAGGGAAATTTTGTTGGCACAGCGACGCTATGGCCTACAAGTACTTAGAATTGAAACTGTTAAGGATTCTTTTACATGTACGAGGGAATCACGTGGCTAAGTGGGTAAGACGCTGGCTCGCTAGCCTGGAGGTAGGGTGTTCGATCCCTGCATTGGCCGAGAAAGTTCATCCAGATTTTCCAGCGTGGTTTCCCCTTGTCAGTGATGCAGGACACAGGGCCTGACAAGAACAGCTGTCTAGTCGTTCTGATGGGACGAAAAACCGAGGTCCCATGTACACATTGGTGTGCGCGTAAAAGATCCCTTGGCAGTTGGAATTCGATATAAGAGTAGGCCGTAATGCCGCTGCCGGGCCAAATTTCCCTCATAGCACACTGTATGGCGTATGCCCATCCTCATTAGCCCAGTTTAGGAGCAGAACAGTACAACGTTAAACCCCATTTCATTTTACATGTACGCCAACTTTTTCATCCCATACGAACGACTAGACACTGTCCCTTCATTACTTGGGGAACTGATACTTGTGTAGTAATGAATAATGCTTGACCACAATATTTTATTATATTTTCAGGATAATAAATTGTGTGCTCATCCTTTTTTGGAAGTTTATGATGGTAAAACCATACATTTTATGGCCCCTCTTGCTAAACAAGATGAGTTCTATCTTCCTGAAATGAAGAAAATGGGGCCAGACGGTTTAGTGATCATGGAACCAAGTGAACAATTGCCTATCGATAGCTACACTAATTCGGCACCAGTTCCAGAAATTCCAGAACCTGTGGAAGAAGACACAAATGAAGCCGATGCCTTAATATCGGAAATAAACTCGAATACAGAGGACATGAACGGTGCCGACTCTGAAGCAAGTACAGGATCTTCCTTTGAAGAACTGAAGTTAGATGGTGACGATCAAAGAAAAGAAAAGGCCCATTCCCCAGACTCCACAACAGTTTAGATATATTTTTATCTTGTCAAGTTGAACTCACTAAAAGTCTCTGTTCGTCATTGGCTTTTTGGGGAAAATATCCAATTTTCCACCACTTAATTATGCTAATATGTACGCAAATTGATTATTCAACATTCAGTTAAAGTGGGAGTAGGCAAGATTAGAAGTTCTCGCTATAGTTCTTGCTATAATAGTTAACAAATAGATAACGGAAACAAAATATGCTGAAAATTTCAGTCAGATTGCTTCACCCTGAACCAAGATATTAGCGATTAAATTTTAGGCTAGCCTCGATCGTCATTACTAACGTTCGTAAGATAATAAACAAAATTCTGATTATCCATTTTTACGTTAAATTATCCATCAAAAAATGTATTCAAATCCACTAAATCTCGCCAGCTAACAATGGCATCGAGAGTTGGTTATGGTCTGGATAAGTTGATTAATGTCTAATTAATAATTTAGGTAACATTTAAGACCTAAAGAAAGACCTGCAATAGGCAGATTTAGCTCTTGTATAATGTATGTTCAAGAAAGTAATATCAAAATATCCGCAGTAGATAATCTTCCAACTTAAAAGTGGACCATTAATTAGCGGGTATTGTCTGTACAAGTGGATGCAGAGTAGTGAACAATTCAATTCATCGTACCTTTGTAAATACTGAATGGACTTGAATTTTTCTTTGCCTGGTATTCCTTTAAGAGATTCATTTTTCATAACATACCAAGGGATCAACAATCTCTCAAACATTTTATATCATCTGCTGTTGTAGATGCGGAGTTGTGAAAAATTTTCAATTTATCGTATCTTTGTAAATACTGAAATGAATCGAACCAATGACGTCCAGAGACTTTAAACATATGTACATTGATATTTTATGGTTATTTGTTTAAGTTGGTATCCAGTTTTGTTTGTCTGAACCCAGTTTAGCACCTGACCTCCTTTAACTGCTGGTCCAGGCTCCCTCAAGTCTTGTGAATAGGTTTCAGGTGGTCTAGGGAGCTGTAGTTTAGGGCACTTTCGAAAATGGGCTACAGAGCTCGAGATATAGAAAGATCACTTTGCTTTAATTTAGCACTTTATGATTGATTTTGAAGAAATAACTTATATGAAAACATTATAAATATTTGTATATGCTTGTAAGCAAACTGACATCGTTTTCTTTGGTTCATATGTATGATTTTTATTTACTTAATATAACATCGCATTTGCTTTGGGTAGGGTTTTTATTTAATTCATAATTGACATTTTTTCTGAAATTGACTTGCAGAAGAATTTACTAGTCAGTCAATTTATATGGCATAAAATTAGAATTTTAAAGAATTTACCTTAAATGATATGATGGTTAAAATGCTGGTTAAATTACCTTAAATGATGGTTAAATTACCTTAAATAATAGTTGAATTACCTTAAATGATGGTTAAATTACCTTAAATAATAGTTGAATTACCTTAAATGATGGTTAAATTACCTTAAATAATAGTTAAATTACCTTAAATGATGGTTAAATTATGGTTAAATTGATGGTTAAATTACCTTAAATGATGGTTGAATTACCTTAAATGATGGTTGAATTACCTCAGGTGATGGTTAAATAACCTTAAATGATGGTTAAATTACCTTAAATGATGGTTAAAATGATGGTTAAATTGATGGTTAAATGATGGTTAAATTGATGGTTAAATTGATGGTTAAATGATGGTTAAATAACCTTAAATGATGGTTGAATTACCTTAAATGATGGTTAAATGACCTTAAATGATGGTTAAATTACCTTAAATAATAGTTAAATTAATGGTTGAATTACCTTAAATGATGGTTAATAAATAGTCATAAATTGACTAACTGCTAGACTTTTAGAGTGAAAACCCTAAAATTAGGATAATGCGTAAAAGATGGGAAAAATTATCACTAAATGTTATTTGTGTTTTTCATTATCTGGAATTTATATATTTTTAATTTTGTTACATTTCTTAGTTGCCATATTTTCTGCATTTTGCTTGTAGATTCAACTTTGTCTAGTTATATAATTGTGTTTCCAATCAGGTCCACGGGTGATAATTCTTTTTGAAAGTCTCTGTGAGCCGTGTGCCATATGCATTTTTGGGAAAATATCAACATTGCTATAGCTTAATCTACGCTAAAATGTATTAAACATTTCATTAGATAACCTCCTGACTTGGATTCAAGCGGATTATAAAGAGGCCCATCAAAAGATTTTTAGAAAAGATTCAGGTGTCGCTGACCGATGCTGAATGTTGATTTCAATTCATAATAGTTTTGTTTACAGAATTGAACTATTTTTTTATTTGTACTGATGTTACTGATTCAAATTTCACAATAATTTAGTTTAAAAGAGATTAAAATATAAAGTCAAATAATGATCTTGCGCCTCATTCACAAAAATTTAAACTAAAATATTTTAAGGATGCAAGCATTTCATTGGTTGAGATTTAAAATCCTCAGACAAATTTGAGCTCTTGGCCAATGAAAGAACTGAATTTTTAAAATAGTTTAGTTTTATGTTTTCGTTTATAAAACCCCAGAGTCTTTAACTATTATTATTATTATTATTATACAATGTAAATATAGTTATCGGCCATATCAAAGTGATATTATGTGAAGAATAAATTGTATTTCATTTTGTAAATGTTTATTATTGAATGTTATAAACTATTGTTTTGTTTCATATTCTATTTAAGACACCTGGTTTTCTCCGGGTCCTCCAGTTTCCTCCCACTGCTAAAGACCCCTATCCACAAGTGAATTATTGAAATAAAATTGAACCATATGTTAGTCCCGAAATGATCTAGTTTGTGTCGAGTGGATGTCAAACCCCATTCTCTCTCTCTCTCTTTTTAAGACACCTCAATCTATTTTAAAGTGGGAGTAGCCTTTGCGTGACAAAGAGTAGGGTCTCCTGTCTATCCTCGTGAGTTTTCTCCAGATCCTCCGGTTTCATCTTACTGCTAACGAACCCTTTGCACAAGCGAATTACTGAAATAGAATTGAACCATATGTTACTCCCAAAATTACCAAGTATGTGTTGAGTGGACATTAACCGACCTCTCTCTCTCGCCCGCTCTATGTTAAGTACGATTTCAGATTTTGCATATTGTCTATTTTCATGGGGGAGGAGTATTTTTATTATATAGATGTAGATGTAAACAACCATGGTTGGAATACTCCCACTTTAAAGGAGCTAAACCTCTGTATTAGGGGGGATTGGATGGCTGAATGCTGTATCATAAGACCTGTCATTGAGTCAACTGGCGTGGTTTCGAATCCCTGGTTATACGTGACAAGGAGTAGGGTCGCCTGTCCAACCTCTTGGGTTTTTTCCGGGTGCTCCGGTTTTCTCCCACTGCTAAAGACCCCTATGCGCAAACGAATTATTGAAATAAAAATTAAACCATATGTTAGTCCCGAAATGACCTAGTTTGTGTCGAGTGGACGTTAAACCCTATTTCTCTCTCTCTCTCTCTCACCTCTGTATTATCCATAATATTGAAAATTAAAAACACGAATTATTGATGTTATTATCTAAGAGCATTAACTTTTTTTTATTTGATTATTTCTGTAGTTTTGTAATCGGAGTTCAGCTTTAACTTAAAAAAACAAAAATGTTGACTGGGAAATAAAGATACCACTTTTTTTGTCTAAAGAAAATTTTTCTAAAGAAGTGTTTGCTAAGTCACAGATTGAATTATACACATATGCTGACCTTGACAAAATGTCTAAAATTTTCAGTGGGTTCTACTGGTTCTTTTGATACCCATATCCATTATGGTATTTTATATAGTGATCAACTCACAGACTATCCTGCATAACGACTTAAACATGCATTATGCAAGAGCAAAATCTGCTTATTACAAGTCTTTCTTTAGGCCTGAAATGTTATCTAAATTATCAATTAGACATTAACTTATCCAGACCATAATAAACTCTCGATGTCAAGGCTAGCCTTCGATGTTGGCTGGATTAGATTCCTATATGCCGCTTAACGGCCATTGATAATTAAATCAAAACAGTGGATAATCGAGACTATGCTGTTTATATTAATGATTTTAGTAATGATGACCGAGACTATGCGAAAATTTCACCCGCTTCGTTCTCGGCTCATAGTGGATCAATTTGACTGAAATTTTCAGCAAATTACCTTTACACTATCTAGTTTTTATCTATTATATTGAGAACTGCCATCTCTTTATCTTATCTCCCATAATGTATCTTTAAGGAATATTAATGACTAGCCGATGACCTGGCGCTGCACGGTTTGAAAGTAGTATAACCAGAAGTGGTAGTCCAACGCCACCTAGCCCATGTTATTAATCAGTCCAAGCTACCCCTATACATCAAATTTCAGCCTCAGGACCATTGACAGGACAGCTATAGTGTAGCCACCAACACTGAACAGACAGTCGAACAAACGACAGTCACAATTATTAGTCACAAATATTGATATAGAGAACTAATTACTGTTACATATCTTGACTTATAAAGGTAAAACTTGTGAGGTGGAATAACTTGAGTTATACAGGTAAAACTTTTGAGGTGAAATAACTTGAGTTATACAGGTAAAACGTACTGTAGTGAGGTGGAATAACTTGATAATTGTTAATCCTTACATAATTGGAAGTGTTAAATGCTTCATTATTAAATAGATACCTATTGCATTTTCAATTTTTTTTGTCAAAATCAAAAGGTGTGATGTGTTTGTTTTTGTCTTTGTTTTTGTATTACTTGTATGCTTAATTAAGGCTTTCTAGTATTTTTAATATATGATTTATATTCAATATCTATTATCTAATAACTTCATATTTTTTCATCATTTTTTAAGTTTGAACAAAAAAACATGCCCGTTATTAGAAATCAACAATGTGATAATTTATTAAGTTTTGCATGGATCTTATAAACAATGCTACTTGATGAATTTTTAAAAGAACAATAAATCTTTCTCTCCATAACTTGTGTTTATTTTTTGAAAATAAAAAAAAAACAATTAAATTATTTGTTTGACTGTTCACTCCATAACATTAGAACTAGTAGTGCCTCTAGTTATAGCAATTCTCCCTTTTGCACGATTTTGCATAGTAATTTTTGGTTGAGAATCGAAGAAGAGTGTTTGAATTTCCATTTTGGGTGAATATTCATGATTTTAGGGCGAAAGGATCAGGAAGTTAACAGACCTGAATCGAGGTGCTTGCCGCATACCAAAATGACATCACTGACTAACACAATCAAAATGGTGTACCTCTTTCAATATTTTTATCAGATTTTAGGCCCATTGTGTTTTTAAAGTTTGAGATCAGCGGAATGTTGAAAAAAATTACAGGCCAAGGAATGTCATTGAAACATTGAAGATAATGGGGAGAGAATTACTAGTCTGACTCCATTAGCAGTAGTTACAGAGGAGTTATCTCCACTTGACAGGATTTCGAGGCGCTAGCAGTAATGGCGGAGTTTGTAAATAAACTGTATTGACCTCCCGTTCGGCGTTCTTGGATACCAAAATGAAGAAATTTTTCAAAAAAATAACGAAAAAATCCCCCTCCAAGGAACAGGGTGCTGCCGGATCACCGAACTTGGGGGGAGCAGGAGGTGCACAGGCTTCGGAAACGTCAAATCAAGGTTATATGTATGATGTCCGAGAAAAAGATTTGGGAAGACTTCACAAGGCCGCCTGGACAGGGGATATAAATAAAGTGCGACAGCTAGCTAAGAAAGATCACAGCCCACTTGATAAAGAAAACAGGTAGGCTAAACAATAAGTAATAATTAATTAATTAATTAACAAAAAATTATTCACATGAAAGTAGTTTGGTAAACTAAAAAAAAAAGAATCCTGTCCACAGAACAAGAAACATGAATTGACATGCCCGTCAATAATTCATTCTATAATTGATATTAACAAGAAAATCACCCCCTGCAAATTTTATGACATATGATACATTTTATGAATGAAATTAAATCTGAGTACCGGTATTTTATATAATTTGTCAATTATGAAAACAGCTTGTACTGTAAGCTTATACGAGGATGCATTCACAGTCACATCAGGATTTCGAGAAACTTGATCTATCTGAGATTGGTATGGGCTACACATTATTTATTATTTATATATTGATTGATTTGATTGATTAATTATTTATTTCCTAATTAACAGAACACCATTGCATCTGGCATGTGCTCGCGGTCACGCTGCCGTAGTACAAGAATTACTAGAATGGAAAGCAAAGACAAATTTAGGTGATAACGATGCCAATACACCATTAATGAAGGTATTATTTTATTATATAATAATTTACATATTAATTGGACGTTTGATAGAAACCAATTGCAAGTCATATAGACCGTACACCCTCTCGCTCCAAGTCCTGAACATTACTTCATGAATTGCTTCATGTAGTATTAAAGATTTGGCTTATAATAAGTTATATATGCATGCATGTAGGCTATATGTAAGCCTAGCTCACTATGAATGATGGAAGTTTTATTGTCAAAAGTAAAGACACCTATGAATTAAATAATAAACAGAACTAAACTCGAAACATGATAGTTACTTTTTTTAGTTATTCATGTCTTTGAAGGGAAAAAGTTAAGAAACTTTTGATGACAGATGTTTGATCAAGATTTTAATTGCTGTTAGTTTTTCGGTCGTGTGATTTGATTAATTAAGTGATTATTTATTTATAGAAATGAAATAAAACTTTTCCCAGTGACAGCGTAGTCTAAGCTTACAGTTAATTAACTTCTTTACTGCTCTAAATTAAAAGTTAGGATAAACTGGATGAGTCATAAAGCATTGTTATTAATTATTAATAGGCTAATAATAAAACTTTGGACAGACTGGAAGACAATCAAGCCAATTCTATATAGGCAAGTACAGGAATAAATTATATAGGTCTTCATGTAAATAAATCCAGAAGTGTTGTACAGCAGCAGCATCTGAGTAAATGTGTGTCACCTATGTGTTGGATCTCTTAAAGTTACTGATTGCCATTTGCATATTACGGACAATAATTTGTTTAATCCACGCTAAAATTTATGCGGATTGATTGTTTTAAATTTAATTGACAGAACAAAATCACAGCTATATATAATCAATAAGATTATAAAGACTGATTTCAGCTAAAATTATAAGTGACACTAGCATGTTTTGACTTTATCCGTTAAACATTTGCAGAGGATATCAAATGGTGACGAATTTTCAATGCATAATGTCTTTGTAAATACTGAACAGAATTTAACCATTTTTGGATTGTAATTCCTTTTAGAGATTTAACTTTCACAATATTATAGTTTACAAGGAATTGACACTCGTCAAATGACGATCAGAGACCTTTAATTAATTGTTGCAGCTGTACACTTAAAGATTTAGGACATGCTCTGATATAAAATGGCCAAAATGCGTTCAATGTATTGATAATGTGTTTGCAGTAAAAAAAGAGGATACCCGTTCCCATCTTCTGGATTTCTTTATTACAAAGTGTTAAAAACATGGATAATTGAATTTAAATACAACTTTTTCACCAGTCATATTGGTAACAACTTTCTTGTGACAATGTAATTTGAGGTGGTGAACAGTCACTTGGTTTCAATCAGCTCTATGATAAGAGAGTGAGAGAAATGGGGTTTAACATCCACTTGACACAAACTAGGTCATTTCGGGACTAACATGGTTCAATTTTATTTCGATAATTCGCTTGCGCGTAGGGATCTTTAGCAGTGGGAGGAAACTGGAGGACCCAGAGAAAACCCTCAAGGTTGGACAAGTGACCCTACTCCTTATAATGTACAAGTTGGGCTCTATGATAGATAGTTATTGTTATTTTTGTGAATAAAAATGAAAGAGCATGGTTTGAGATACAGAAAAAGCACATTAAATAATTCATCAAGGATTTGAACAATGTAGAAGTCTGAAAAAACAATATTTTCTTTGTGAATGATTTCCTGCAGTGCCGTTAACGAGGTGTTACTGTGTAATTAAAAGATGGAGAAAAGACTAAAAATTTCCACCGTATTTGGAACATTTTTCTTTAAGCCCAAATCCTATCTACATCTCTGTTCCTATCTGCATGTAGGTGATAGTTAACTTTTGACCATATGTATGGAAACATTGTCTTGTATTTGCAATAAATACCGTTGCGAGGTACCGCACCCACCAAGTCACGTGACACAAACATAACTGCTTTTAATACATGTAGTTGTTTTTTTATAGCAGGGGTGTTCCCTGGCAAATACAATGTTTTGAGAAGGATTTAAAGCAAAATTTTGGTAGATTAATTGGTTTGAATATGGTTTTAGTCCAAATTATCAAGAAGTAACCAGTTTGTACACCGGAAGGTATTTTTAATAGATGAATTGCTATGTTTAAAATTCTAGTTTGTTGTATCCCAATCTGGTTAAAACACAGATCCTATTTCGTTTCGTTTTTTTATAGTTCAAACTTTCGTTGTACTTTATTGCACTAGGAGGGATGTCAGGGGTTAATCAATGAAACAGTCTGTTTCGGCGATTTTTTGGTGTGAGGTGCACAGAACTTTTGTTAAACCACTAGAAACGTCAATGCTGATTGGTTAATCACATATCTGATGCCATAGGGTCAAAAGCCGCTCATATGACGCCTGACACGACCTTCCACTACTAGTCATGTAGTAGAGGCCATCGAAAGTAAGGGTCGCCTGTCCAATTTCGTGGGTTTTCTCCGGGTCCTCCGGTTTCCTCCCACTGCTAAAGACCCCTACGCGCAAGTGAATTATTGAAATAAAATTAAAACCATATGTTAGTCCCGAAATGACCTAGTTTGTGTCGAGTAGACGTTAAACCCCATTTCTCTCTCTCTCTCTCCATCGAAAGTATAAAAAAGGAAACGAAATATAGATTTGTATTTTAATCAGATTTGTTATATTCTATGGCTATATCGTATAATTATAAATGAACTATTTCAGGCTGTACAATGTCAACATGCAGATTGTGTCGAGCTATTATTAGAACATCATGCTAACGTTGAAGCCATGGATACCGAAGGAAACACATGTTTACATCAAGCAGTTCAAGATGGAAATCACCAAATAGCAGACATGTTGTTAAAAGCTGGAGCTAGTCCTGATGCTAAAAATAAAGTAGGAATATTTTCGTATTATTTATGAAGGGCGTATTATCATCTCAAATGCATGTTAACCTTGGTTAAAAGGGAAACCACACCGGAAAATCCGCCCTGTATTAAACATTTTATTTTATTTATTCAAATAAATATTTTTGAATTTTTACAGAATGGTGAAACGATTCTACATGCTGCCGTCAAGACAAAACAGGAAGAAATCTGTCGTCTGCTGTTAAAGAATGGTGCTAATGTCAACATGTTCGATAAAGAATTTAGGTAAGAGTGAAAATAAACTGAATGATACAATTATACTATTCAAAAAAAGTAGGGGATATTTGATTTTGGGGGCATAATACTAAAATATGCAAATGACTACGAAAAAAGTCACTATAGAACTTAACAGAAGAAACATTTCCAGTTACATGTGACGCCCAAACGCACCAATAGCTACCGCATGGAATGCAGGTGATGCTTGGGATCATCATGGGGGTCCAACCCAAGATTTGCACGACTCTGACTTTGAATGTTACAGTCATTGTGGCATTGAATTCCAGGGTGGAAACATCAGTTTAATTGTTTTAGTGACCAGAAAACAAATTTTGATATGCGTCGGCTTACCCAAAATGAAAGGTTACGTGCCCTTGGCATGCTACAGATCGGCACAACACAGGCGGTTTTGGCGCAGACGATGAATGTTTCTCAGTCTGTCATAAGCAGGCTATGGTCCAGATACCGTGATACACAATCTGTACAGGACAGACCACGCTCAGGTCGACCAAGGGCGACAACTCAAGCCCAGGATCGATTTATCCGTACCTTGGCCTTGAGAAATCGTGTCATCACAGCAAATCAGATCAGCGCTCGTCTTCAAACAGACACTGGTGTGAGAGTGAGTGGCCAGACGATTCGGAATCGACTGCATAGGGGTCACCTTCGCGCCCGACGTCCTCGCGTGATCCCTTGTTTGAGAGATCATCACATTCAGGCAAGACGTCGTTGGTGTAGGGATCGTCAACACTGGGATAATCGACGCTGGAGCAATGTGATGTTTTCAGATGAGTCAAGGTTCACTGTTGATTTTTTGGACAGACGTAGGAGGGTGTGGCGTCGTCGAAACGAGCGCTTCCAAGACGTTAACGTCATCAGACATGATCGATTTGGGGGTGGTTCTGTTATGGTGTGGGGAGGCATCACTGTTGCTGGAAGAACGGCTTTACATGTTGTTGCAGGGCGTGTTACAGGCCAGTACTACCGGGACAACATCTTGGCAGTCCATGTTGTGCCGTTCGCACGACGTCATGGCCGCCGTTTCATCTTCCAGGATGACAACGCAAGATGTCACAGGGCCAGGATCGTTACAGGTTACCTCCAACAACAGAACATCACCACATTACCTTGGCCAGCACTGAGTCCCGACCTCTCCCCCATCGAGCATGTCTGGGACATGCTTGGACAGAGGTTACGTCAACATCAACAACGTCCTGCCAATGTCCAAGAACTTGCTGCTGCGTTGCAACAGGAATGGGACAATCTGGACCAAAATGACCTTAGACGTCTCATTAGGAGTATGCCACGTCGGATCAATGCTTGTTTGGTAAACAGAGGAGGATTTACCCGTTACTGACTTGGTTGTGATGCTGTGGTAACTTTGCTGTTTGACCCCGGGTATCATTTTACCCTTATAATGGTCAGTCTGTGCCTTACTTAGTCTAACGATCATTTGGAATAAATCGATGAATGTGAACTTCATTTCATTTTGTCATTTGTTTCTTCGTCAGTTTCATTAGGTGACTTTAATAACACTTAAAAATCAAATATCCCCTACTTTTTTTGAATAGTATATATACGTACGCAAGTGTCACATATTTTAAATCCTTCCGTAAAATTTGATTAGTCTGTATGTCTGTCTTCATTAGCTCAGTCGGAGCAGAACAATAGGATGTTAATCCACATTTCATTTCATTTATGTCTAATAAGAAATATTTAATAAGATAACTTTGTAAAATGAAGATATGAAGTTTGTTATTATTTGCAGGTTACCGTTAATGTACGCATGTCAAGATGGTTCGATAAATTTAGTAAAATTATTATTAGAATATCAAGCTGATACAAGTTCTAAAGATGATAAAGGTTAGTAGATTGTTTAGCGGACCAACTGATCTATAAAATATAATACAGTCGGCCCACTATTCCATAGAATAAAACCCAACTGCTCCATAAAATATAGAACAGCCACCCAACTACTCCATAAAATATAGAATAAAGCCCAACTGTTCCATAAAACATAAAATAAAGCTTAACTGTTCCATAAAACATAAAATAAAGCCCAACTGTTCCATAAAACATAAAAAAAAGCCCAACTGTTCCATAAAACATAAAATAAAGCCCAACTGTTCCATAAAACATAGAATAAAGCCCAACTGTTCCATAGGTAGGGTGACCCACCATAAATAAATATCTCCACATATCTCCATATATCTCGACAATTACGCCACAATATTTATATATATGCCAAGCCTCAAATCAGTTTCACACAATTATAGTCACTAAATAAACGATCATGTTGTACTTAATAAGCTATGACCATTAATCATCTATAAATAATAGACTGAAAACTGGTTCCAAGTGTCGTCCATAACATCCAGACACTTTTGAGTAAAAGATAGGTTACGTGCCCTTGTTTTGAAATTAGTCTCGCTTAACCAGTCTATTGACCATTCTACGTCTGATTGACAGGTCGGGATAATCAAGACTACTTTTTTACGAAACATAACAGAAAGCTAGAACAAGAAATTGAATTTAGAAATAAGCACGTTAGGTAGCCCAACAATCGTTTTAAGAACCTTGTAAAAGTAAAATGAAACTACTGCTAGTATCATGTTCCTGTCTAACCCGAGTGATTCAGAGATATTATTTGTACTAAACCAAAAGATGCCGCTCTTAAAGGTACAGTTAATGATAAAGCGATTTAAAAAATGAAACGAACGTAATTTCTAAATCTGCTGTAATAACCAAGAAGCTTAATTTCACTGCTATTCAAAATCGTCAACAATAGATTTTTTACGACTGTAATAGTTGATAGATTTGTAGAGAATTGCACGTGCCATGGCTATTTATAGTATCATACTGTCAGAAAGTTGGTCTCGGCACGGCGAATGTGTACGCTTCAGTGGTAGTCTCGAACTATCAGCGGTGGACTTTATTTCTGTAGAGTACATGGGCCACCCTACCATAGGCATAGCATATAGCCCAACTGTTCCATAGGCATAACATATAGCTCAACTGTTCCATAAAATGTTGAATAAAGAATGCATAAATGAAAGTAACTGCTTCATAAAACAGTGCATGAATCAAAAACCTTCATAAATTATCAATCCTTGTTCTCACTGGTCCAGACAGACGAGGAAAGTTGGCAACGTCATTCGGAAAAAAATGGGGAACACCTGTGTACATATTGACATGTACAATTGGCAGTCAAAGAAGCATGAGTGGAAATGCAGCTGTCTGGGCTAAATTCTCCCCCTTGTATTGCCCATTTAACCACAGAAATGAAATGTGTTAACAAGACATGAAACCCTGTTCAATCCATTTAGAAATCTATGAGCGGTGAATAACCGTCCCAGATTTCTCTCATGAAACGACTTAAAGATACATTCTGGGTCATTCGATAACGAGTTGGCAGTTCTCACTATAATAATTAAAAACTAGATAATGTAAAGGCAATTTGCTGAAAATTTCATTCAAATTGATCCACTATGAACCAAGAACTAAGCAATGACATTTCTGCCTAGCCTCGGTCATCATTACTAAAGTCAGTACGATAAACAGCATAGTCTCGATTATCCATTTAATCGTTTAATCGAGAAGGAAAGTTATGCATAAATCGGCTCACAATCCACTTAAGATAGCAGGCTAGCGATGCCATCTAGAGTTGATTATGGTCTGGATAGGTTAATTAATGTCTAATTAATAATTTAGATAATATTTCAGGCCTAAAGAAAGACCTGCAATGGACAGATTTAGCTTTTGCATAATGTATGTTTAAGAGCTTTCACAATGAATGGCTATACAATTTTATAAAATTTAGTCCCGAAGGGTCCCCACCACATTCTTTATATTTATATCCTGTTCAATCCATTTAATTCTTTTTTATTTTTCAGGCTGGACAGCAGATGACTACGCAGTAATTAAAGGACATCATGCCTGTTCAACTTTAATAGCAGACCACGATAGGAAATATAACCTAGGTAGTGCGGCCAGTACACCAAGAACTGCATCATTTCCCCCCAGTTCTCAAGTTACACCTAGAGAAAGGACTGGTTCTGTTGTATTGGGTATACCTGCTGAAGATGTTGCTGGTGTGTATCACTGTTTTTATATTTCATTTTTAGATAGTTTATTAAATATTATCCAAGTCATTGGCTTGAATACAAATACAGTTTTTAAAATTGTACATATCAAAGAACAGTTTACAAAATTGTACATATCAATAAACAGTTTACAAAATTGAGCAAGCACAATATAAATAACAGAAGAGTTCAGAGCAGAACAGTAGGACATTAAACCCCATTTCATTTCATTTCAAATAACAGAAGTGGTAAACAATTGGGAAATCGAGGAGAATACACTTTCTGAAAGTATCCGACAATGTGATTCTGTGTCAGTTTTTAAATCCAAAGTGTAAACAAGGTTATTTTTTTACTATCATTAGCAATCTAAGCAAAGTTAGATCAATTTCTAGCGCCTAGATCATTCCCTACTGGATACAAATATCTTTAGAGGGGGTTGGAATGGCGTGGTTTCGATTCCCGGGTTGTACGTGACAAGGAGTAGGGCCATATGCCCAACCTTGTGGGTTTACTCTGGGTCCTCCAGTTTCCTCCCACTGCTAAAGATCCTTACGCGCAAGCGAATTTTTAAATTAAAATTGAACCATATGTTAGTCCCAAAATGACCTAGTTTGTGTCGAGTGGATGTATTATTATAAAGAAATGCCATGTTATAATTTCAGGAGATGATTCTGGTGAAGAATCAGCTAGTAGAATATCAGGTCATGGTGGTGGTGCTGGGGATTCATGGGGAGATGATACAGACATTAGTCTAGCAGCTGATGACAAGGGAAAGGTAATCACAACTCTGATTTACAACTTTTAGCATGCTTAAAGAAACAGGGGCTTTTCTCGTGATAGCCATTATAATATGACTTAAATGTCGGGAGGGTATTTTCATTAATTATCGTAATTTGGTCAAAAAATTATTCAATCCGACCGACTTGTGTAGAGACAGAGACCTGTACAGTGATTTGGGTAGATATGTTGTTGAGCAGCATTTAGTAAATTGCACACATTTAAGATAATCACAATAGTTCCATGGAAACAGTTACTGAATTTTATGCATGAAAAACAACAGATGAATCATTGTAGAAACGTAGATCATTTAAACTTTGGTTAATTGTCTTCCATAGAACTGATTATTTTATTACGTAGAAAAGACTAAATCTTCAATGTCCACAGATACTACTTTATTATCTGTGACTCGGAGGAAAATTATCTTTTCCTATAAATAGTGCCCATATGTGGAATAAGCTACCAAGAGCAATTAGAGAAAGCTTGACCTTTGTTAAATTTAAATCGGAGTTAAAAACACAAATATTATTACCAACTACTACATGAAGATCTGACCGGTTGTAGTGGAAGGTTGTGTCATACGACTTACAAGCGTTTTTGACCCTATGACATCAGACATTTGATCAACCAATCAATGTTGATGTTTCTAGTGGGTTACCGGGTGCCAAAAACTCGTCGTAACAGACCGTTTTATTAGCTAATCCCTCACATCATCCAGAATGCGGGTTATATAACAACTCTTCCAGATCCTAGTGTAGTGAAGACAAGTAAAAAGAATTTTGAACTATAAAAAACGAAACGAAATAGGATCTGTGTTTTAATCAGATTGTGATTTAGATAAATATTTATGGGTGTTATTGTTTGCTTGTCATGCCGCTAGGAAGGATCAGACGTAGATGATAATATATTTGATGAAGAGCCACCAGAGGTTTGTTCGTTTATGCATAAGATGTGAAATGCATTTTCTTCTTGGCCTCCATTTTTTGTTTGATTTTGTTGTGGTTTTGTTTTGTTGGGCTTTTATTTTTTCTCTCTGCCATTCAGCATCCGGTGGACCCAGAGAAAACCCACGTTTTCCAGCTTTTTTTTATCTCTTTGATTGTTATTATTTTGCATCAATAACGATTGTCCTTGCCTTTTGAAGAAAGCAGGGTACTACTAAAATTTATTTTGTACGTCTGCTTGTATGTCTCTCACACTTTTCCGGCATGGATTCCCGTTGTCAGTGATGCAGGACGGAGGGCCTGGCAAGGGACAACATATAGTTGTTTGAATAGAATGAAAGACTGAGGTCTCGTGTACACATTGGCGTGCATGTAAAAGATCCCTTGGCAGTTGAAATTTTGATATAAGAGTAGGCTGTAGTGCCGCTGTCTGGGTATAGCACACTGCTTGACTTATGCCCGTCTTCATTAGCCCAGTCGGAGCAGAACAGTAGGGCGTTAAACCCCATTTCATCTCATGTCTGTCACACCTTTTGGAACTCTCCTAATTGAAGTAGGGCATTCATACTTTGTCTAGATATTCATCAGGTGAATTTTTGAATAAGTTTCTCCGTGCATCGAACTTTCTGGAAGACAATAACTCTGCTTCTAATTAAGGTAGATTAATTGAACTTGGTGTAGATGTCATGACTGTGTTCGGTAAAAAGCAGGGTTAAGCAATTTGATAGGCCGAATCTTTAGAGCACAATAACAGTTTGAATTAAAACAGATCATGCAGCCCTCTGTGACATAGGATTATCTAACAACCGGTCCCCGCATCCACAAAACATTTTTAATGTTAAGTTAATTTACTCAACTTTCAATCACAGTTTATGAGAAATATATTTGATTCAGAAACACAAAAAACTTATTGATGTATTTGATACATTAAAACAACAAATTTTTTATAAAGGGCTATATTTTAGTTAAAATAAGGTGAACCATTTTGCGTTAATTCTTAAATTTGTGTACTTGGGGTCTGAATGTTAATTTCATATGACCTAAACTACACTATGATCTTTTATCATTTCAGATTTTTTACTATTTAGTTAAGAATAATAATTTTTCTGTTTAATTTTTCTTTGAATACTTGTTTAGTTGTTGTCGCTTTCCTTAAACAGGCATTAAGTAAGCTAAATATGTGTATTGCAGGTCTTTCTTTAGGCCTTAAGTATTATATAAATTGTTAAAGACATTTATTAACATGACAAGACCATAATCAATTCTCGATGCTTTAGGATGGCTCAGAATTTAAGTAGATTAAAATGGTGTGGCCATTTAATGATTTAATTTAAAAATCGAGAACCAAGACTAAGACTCAAATGAAAAGTACAGTGGTTACGATCAGTGCACAACCGTTGATCACTTTGCTCAAAATAAAGTAATGGAATGAAATTTTCAATATATTCATTTTGCATTATCTATTTTTGAAATATTATAGCGAAAATGGAAATAATGCTCCTTTATTTATGTAATTTCTAATTATGATTTTATATTATTTTAGGCCAGAACTAAGATTAATCTGTCCAAGTTAGTTCGTAACATGTCTGAAAGTGAAAAAGAAGGTAAGTTGCATATTTTCTGGAGGGGATGTGACGTCATCCTTTGATGTTGGCCTACCATTATTTCACATAATGGTACTGGCAATGTGTCAAATGTACATTATTTATACTAGTTGAAGTTTTGGACCTGCGTGACGTATTTCATTGAAATGCATGTGCTGGATAGTGTCTGTCTCGTGCAAGACATTGTGTAATATATAGATATAGTCCTCGTGCTAAACGCACTCGTGCAATATCAATATATTACTTAATGTCTCGCACTCGACCATTAAAATACACTTGATTATGAATAGGTCTGTTGGCGAATTGGAAAAATTCAAATTCATTAAATTTGTATTATCTGAAGTACATGAAGTCTCATTCAATCAAGCTTCGATATAAAATAACCCTTGACCACTGGAATTCGTAGTAAAAATAACTTGTAGTGATGCTGTCTGGGCAAAATGTCTCTCATAGCAAACTGCATGCCTATGCCTCTCCTCAATAGCCCAGTCGGTGCAGAAAAGTAGGATTTAAACCTCATGCTAACCGATCAGATCTATATGAAATAAATATTTATTTTAATCAGATTGTTTAAATTTTTCTAAAACCTGATAAATGTGATATTCAGTTGTTGTCACCCTTGTCTGTCCGTCAGTTGTCCACTATTGCTTATGGATGTTTTAGGTGATAAAATTAATATCTGATTAACTTAAAATTTATAAAAATTGTTTAAGGTCATGAGACGAAAAAGCCTATTGATTTTTCACTTTGAAAAATCTTTTGGATGTTCTAGAGGATAAAGAAGAAGTTAATATCCGATTGACTTAAAATTTATACGCAGTGTTTACTGTTATGTCACGACGAAGGATATTAATTTCAACGATTTCCGATGATTTGAACAGTTTGCTTCATGATATTGAATGTTTTGTATACAAAACGTTAGTAACTTAGTATAGGGTAGAAGCCAAACAAATTATAATGATTTCTGATAATTACTTAATTTGTTGTAAATGTTTTCATTACCGACAATTGTGTCGACTGGACGTTAAACACATTTTCTCTCTCTCTCATTATTGATAAAAGAAAAACATGAGACAACCCTTGATGACTGCTTCAACGACTTAGCTGCTGTGGGCGTATGTTTTTTTGCCTGGACAGACTGTGTTTAAAAAAAAAATGTTATTTGAAATATTTTAAAGAATCTGTGCGATCCAGTCATTCACCTCTGCCAGATCAAGATGGCAAACAATCCAGACCATCTTTAGATCAACAGAACTCAATTGTATCTCAGCCATCAATAGAAGATTCCTGGGCGGCAGCTGATTCTCCCATTACACCGAGACGTGTTTCCTTTAAAAAAGATGCTGAATTATCAGAAATCCGAGATATTGTAAGTAAATTAAAGCTTTTCCTATTACCCAAAACTACTCGAGGGTGGCTCTAGTCGTGTGTGTGTGGGGTGGGGGGCACCATTGAAGTCCCATTAAAAGTCATTATCTTAGAACCGGATTCTTGTCTCAGATCACTGGGAATGACTTTTTCTGGATGCTAGTTTTTGAAAATTTCCACCCCCCCACCTGCTTATCCATTGTCTCTGGATCCACCCTTGTTACAAGCCTGAAAATTTAAACAATGTCACTGACATTGTAAGACACAAATTGAGGCTTTCTCGGGTACAGCTACTCTGGTGTCTGCCATTTTGAATTTTGTCTGAAACTACAGGTATTAACAGGGTCAGTTTGTGCACCTGAGAAAAGACGGGGTACATTAATGTAACACCTGTCATAATAGTCTAGCATACATCTGCAAAATAACAAGAAAATAAGTCAAATTGAGTTAAGTGAGTTGATGAAAAAAATTAAAAAGACATATAATGCTTGTGTATGTCATGCTGGTTTCTGTGAGTTTGTTGTCCTCTTAGTTTTTGTGATATTTTGTTATTGTGTGTTGTACAGTCCTCCTGTTTGTTATTGTGTGTTGTGCAGTCCTCCTGTTTGTTATTGTGTGTTGTACAGTCCTCCCATATTTACCAGAGTTTAATCTTTATATTTATAGAGTATGCAAGAAGAACCCGAGGAAGTAAAACAAACGGTAAATATTAAATTCATTTATCTCGGAGGTTGGGGTGGGGCGCAGTATGTTCTTCAATCAATGTATTTGCAATGACAGAAGTAGAAAAGAAAATACAATTTTTCAGTTTAAAAAATTACACATTTTTATTTAAATGGAAGTGTCTATTAAAGTCGGAAAGCACCATTTGCATTTTTCTGACAATAGCAAATTTTATGTGGCCTAATAATAATATGCACTAAAATATATTCTCGTTGCATGACTATTTGACATTCAATGTAGATAATCACATGACTTAGATTGTGTTGGATTTAAAAGAGGGAAATGAAGACCGGTTTCCCAGCACTTATTGGTGTTGCTCTCTTGTTCAAATCATCCTCATACCATCCCAAATATTATATTAATCATATCCTTGTAGGGGGGTTGGATGGCCGAATGGTTAGCGCGTGCACATTGTATCATAAGGTCTTTTAGTGAGTCAGCTGGCGTGGTTTCGATTCCCCGGTGGTATGTGACAAGAAGTAGGGTTGCCTGTAATTATCAGAAATATTATAATTTGTTTGTTTCTAGTTTTGCCCTACTCTTAACATTTAGTATACAAAACTATTAATAATATCATGGATTTAGCTGTTCAAGTAGTCGGAAATCATTAAAAATAAATAGACTTCATCGTCCCATGACCGCAAACCTCGTGGGTTTTCTCCGGGTCCTCCAGTTGTTAAACTCTCTCTCTCCCCCTCTTTCTCTCTCTGGGAGAGAGAGTGAGAGAAATGGGGTTTAACGCCCACTTGACACAAACTAGGTCATTTCGGGACTAACATATGGTTTAATTTTATTTCAATAATTCGCTTGCGCGTAGGGGTCTTTAGCAGTGGTAGGAAACCGGAGGACCCGGAGAAAACCCACGAGGTTAGTCAGGCGACCCTACTCCTTGTCACGTACAACCGGGGATTCGAAACCACGCCAGTCGACTCAATGACAGACTTTATGATACAGCGCGCGCACGCTAACCATTCAGCCATCCAACCCCCCTTTCTCTCTCTGGACTGAGATTTCTTATCGAGATTCAAATTTCACAGTGATGACCAGTGATTTTATGATTATATATTTTATTGGACAGCCATCTGGTAAATCAGCTGGATATACACCTACAGCAATAGCTACTTCTACACCGAAAGTACAACTTACAGCTGAAAAACAGAGAGGTAAATACAATCTAAATATTTACTACCTTCGCTACAATTTAATTTTGTTCTGTCTGAATTTTGTAAATTAAGATAAAATGAATAGAAATAAGATACTTTATTCCACGATCATGGTCGGTTAAATTACCATAATAACACCAGAGTTATTGTGCCAGGCAGAATAACACCAGGCCCCGAGTTCACAAAGCTTTCTCAAGTTAAGAATTTACTCAAAATTGTTGACCTTATTGTAACTAAAATATAGCCCTTTATAAAGCTTTTCTTGTTTTAATGTATCAAATACAACAATAAGGAACTATGTGCAAAGTTTTGTGTTTCTGGATCAAAGTTATTTCTCAAAAACAGTGATGAAAACTTAGTAAATTCTTAACTTAAGTCTGAGAATGCTTTGTGAACTCAGTGCCAGAGTTATTGTGCCTGACAGAATAACACCAGAGTTATTGTGCCTGACTGAATAACACTAGAGTTATTGTGCCTGACAGAATAACATCAGAGTTATTGTGCCTGACTGAATAACACTAGAGTTATTGTGCCTGACAGAATAACATCAGAGTTATTGTGCCTGACTGAATAACACTAGAGTTATTGTGCCTGACAGAATAACATCAGAGTTATTGTGCCTGACTGAATAACACTAGAGTTATTGTGCCTGACAGAATAACATCAGAGTTATTGTGCCTGACTTAGTCTGAATTTGTGACTGACAATGTCAGTGTCAACTACCTCATTTCCAGACTTGATGTTAGCTTATATTACCCGTAGTAAAAACCATAATTTGGTGACGGATCGTAGCAAGCTTGTAATGAATTTACATAATGCATGATGAATTAAAATGTTATTAATGAAAACCTTATAGAATAGTTGAAATATTTGAAAGCATTTTTTTTATTAACCTGCATGTTTTTTCCTTCTAAAGAAATCCAAGGTGAAAAGAA